TAAAACTGTTTCACTGTTGTTCCTTGGACAATAATGCATTAGAAAGAAGGACTGCTAAATAACGTGAGAGTTCTTACTAGAGTACGTAAGCGATTTATTTATTTCAATGTAATAAAGGCAAAATATACTAAGTATAATAACTAATAATTTTCCTTTTAAATGTAAACGACGAAATGCGATTAATATCGACATGAAATGCGTACATAATGGTCTTTCATCTATCCTATTATAGCGATCGACATCTTCTCAGTCTTCGTCATCTATTAAAGAAGATGAAGATATCTCGAAGGAATGACCATGTCAAAGGAATCAAAGAACTTTTGTCCTTCACTGAAGCCCTTTATGGTACTCCTTTTCATTGCTCTAATTACGATGTTATGACTCTCCTTTCACAGCCTCTTGAGGCATCTGTTTTGTTCTTGTAGCGTATAGAACTCATTCTTGAGTTTCATTTTTCTCCATCAATACCGAAAGTAGAGAAGCTTTGTATTTTCGTGAAGGTTAAAAAATATTAGGATTTAGACATAAAGGAGCAAATTTAGGTAAATGTACTATCATAAGACACTTGAGAGAATTTTTTATCATTTATTTGAACCACATCTTTAGTTTCGATTGTGGGTCTTTGAAAGTTTAGTCCATTATAAAATTTTTACTTCTATACAGTCAATTATTTAATTATTCATGAAAAAACATTGAAACATGCTAACAGCGAATATCATACGAGTAATAGACTCAGGATTTGGGGTCAATAGGTATTTTATATAAATGAAAATACTCAAAATAAATTCTGCATAATTTTAAACTACTAGGTTGTTACAAAAGCTCTAGTTCATATTTTAAACATTATTGAAAAATACTCTTCAAAGGTACAAGTCCTTTGGCTTTGAGGCAATGAATTCTTCACATGCAATTTTTACGTATTCGTAATTACCCAAAATGAACCATTGATCTAAACAAGCCATTATATGATGGTGCAATATCTGGGCTATAAGTGGAAAAACGTTTACTGTTTGCAATTCCGATAATTTTTCCTTGGTCAAAGGAGAAAGATGTGCAGCTAAATGGACTTGTTGTAAAATAGCTAGTTGTTGACCAAAGTGGGGTACTTTGCACTCATAACTACGTAAACTCTGTCAATTAGTGTACAGTAAAGGTTTGAATCCACCATCCGACCATCAAAAACTAGATCAAAATGCAAAAACACACATTCGCCAAACGGCTCATACGCCCATTGTTGAAACGCCTGAACCAAAGTGCAAGAATATTTCGATGGATAACTGACTCTTCTTCTATGACACAAATTTCTTCAGTGACTGCCTTTGTGATTAGACATTTTTTCCAGTAATGACTCCAAAGACTAGGAATCACACTGTTTTATTCTGACATTGCACTTGCATTTTAAAAATGTAAGTGCCAGAAAGCCAACTCAAGGAGTTGAAGGATTAGCCAATTGACATAAATAGTTGGAACTAAAACATTCTTATAGGATTAATTATGAGACTTGGAACAATTATGGAGGATTTTTGAACAATCTAGTAAGAAAAGGCCAACTACAGATAAATGAATCAAATTTTTAAACTTGTCTCTTAATGAAAAGTGATAAGGAAACTTCCTTAAAACAAATAACCAAGTTTGTTCCATTAAAATATTAACTGGCAATTAGCTTTCGTATCACAATGTCACTTGAAGATCAGGTGACCTGTACAACTACAACCCATGAAGGGTCTTGGGTTCAGTACTGTTTCAAGGCCAGCAGTTGTGCAGGGAGGGGATCAGGCCAGGATCACGCTCAATCATTTTCCCCCTTAATCAATTATTTAATTAAGGGTACCCACATTATAGAGGATGGGTGTGCCCCAGATGGGTCTCCCTATCCCAGGGTCATGTCACGACTAATGACAGAATAAATAATTTTTCTGCCATGAGCCGGAATTCGAACCTGGAACCTTGAGAATTGGAAGCTTAGTGCCCTACCACTAACCTATCCCTGATCAGGTGACATACTTCTTAATGTTCTAGCTGCAAATCTACAAAACTTTGTACTCTATAATGGGTGTGAAATGAGCTTATCACTTCTTACGGAGTTGAAAACTGGCAATTAATGGCTCAATGTCTACCTGTTGCCGAATCCTGCCATCCGATTTTGATAATTGGCTCGAAGTTGGAGAATGTTCACAAATGTATTTTTATCGTTACACCTTAATTTCAAAAATTTTACTCCGATTGAGTACAAAGTTGGAAGAAATTTGAGGAATAATATACAAATGATCTAGTATCAATTTCCATTTAACAATCAAAATTAATGTAATTGTTAAGTATATGCTACCTGTGAAATTTAGTTTGTATTAACTACAGTGGGAGATTAAATATATTTTTTAAACTAAATGTGATTTATTATAAGTGTTTTTACTGTATTTTTCTATTTACTATGTTATTAAAATTAAAACATTGAAGTGTGATCCTATATATATATTTTCTTATGTACCCAATGAAAATGTTGAGGATTTTATATTGTTTTGCTTGACTAGAGTTTTTAAAAAATATTTTCAGTTTTGTTAGAAAACCTTTTTTTGGAATATTAATTTATGTTTTATAATTGAGGCGTTGGCATGAAAAATGTAATTCATAAAATTATTGTTTAACAGTAAAAGCAAAAACCTGTTTTGACACTTTTTAAGAAAAAACTTTAATTATTATTTAGGGGTTATTTTGTTTCTGTTTATTTTATATTTTGCGTATATGCAGTATAAATGTAATTTTACCTTACTATAATTATTGTACAAGTGATAGAATAATATATTACTTAATCAAAAAATAATAAAGGCATTGATAGAAACTAAACTAATCCCAGCTTTGACTTACTCCTTCTATACCATTGGCATGACTAATTACTACCTTATCCATGAAATTTTTTTTTTTTTACTTACTACCTTTTCCATTTCAATGCCTCAATTGTCTTAATAATTGTTTAGTTGACCGAATAAATAAATTAAATGAAATATTGAGCGTTGAAAAGGATGTTCTCTCTAATTATATGAATTATCTTAATTATTGTGGATTTGTGGTTAATCTGCAGAGAATAGTGGTAAGGATGATCAGTCAAAAAAACAAATTATAATAATAAATAAGTATATTTAATTTTATATTTACGAACGTTTCGGCCCGAAGAAATGATTCCTTAAGTCTGGTGGAATCCTTTCGTTTGACCAGTCCTGAACTCCAGGGCTAAACGTCGGAAAAAATAAAAATAAATATTTATTTTTATAATTTGTTTTTTTGACTGATCACACCAACCATTATGCTCTTCAATTATCTTAAATATTGCATTCTATTTGACGTATCATTTCATTAAACGTAGAAAGACGATAGCAGCTGTACTTCATCCCATCAGAGTATTGATATCACTTACATCTTCTAATCACTTTTATTAAAGTATTTAAGAAACAAAATTGAGATGTGATGCTTCTCCATGAAATTCCCCTTCTTTTGACACCTATTTTGTTAAAATCCATTGCTCCTAAGAGCAGGAAAAGTTATTTTTACTACTTAATTATAAATGTAGTACATAAATAAAAAAATTGAAAGAAATATGTTTTCTAGATATAATTATAAAAAATTATTTTCTCTTCTGTATAATGTAGATAGAAAAAAAACTTTATTCTAGGACTAAGTCCCTTTAGAATAACAATATTGTACAAAAGAATAGAATATTACTGGCCTAAAAGTTTGAAACAAAAAATAAAATTGATAAAAAAAATAAAAAGTAAAGAAAACCTTAGGTACACATACTATATACAATACAGATAAAAGTATGTATAGAGCATTTAAAACAATGAACAAAACAATTAAAACTATGAACGAATCACTTGAACTATGAACAAAACTATATATAATGGTTGAACAACATAAATATACACTTTGAGAAATGAAGAACCAAAAAGAGATAGAACGAGTTCATTTCATAAAAAAAATTTTACTTGAATATATATATAAAAATAAACAGTTAATTATAAATAAATTTAAAAAAAAAATGTATGTATTGAAATTCCTACGTCGATAGTAGGAAATGCATGTACTATCTCTTACCAAGTATATGATAATATGATTGCTACACAATACATATATAGTATTAATAGTTAGCTGGTATCTGACTGTTTTTGGAATAGGAGGTTATTGAATGTGTATAGGGAAGGAGCATGTCGAATTTTGATCGGGAGGGAATTCCAAAAGTTGACAGAGCGGGCTATAAAGGAGTTTTGGAATGATGCAGATCTATGAGAAGGGATGTATAGGTCAGAGGGTCGAGATCTTTTAGTGGGGGAATGGATTGAGGACTTAAATTGGAGAAGGTTGTAGGCATAAGAATGACGATGATCGGTAATGATTTGATAAAGGAAATATTGTCTTCGAAAGGAGGGGAAGAGCCACCCTGACTCAGTGTGGTGGTGGGAGACACGGGATCGTCTCGGGGTCCCAATTACAAATCTTACGAAGCTATTCATAACTTATGTTAACATGAATAATAAATGTAATTTATTTTTTTTGTTCAACGTGTCGGGCTCTTTGCCCAATTTCAGAGGCAACTCTTAAAACTGATCATGAACTTTTTTCTATCTTATATTATTACACTACATTTCAGAAAAAACATTTGTCTTTTTACTCTACATTTCATTTAATAATTTCACACATTGAATGAATACTTTGACATAAATCTGGTTGGACAACAATGTAACAGTGGAAATTATCCAACCAAGTATTGATTAAGTGTATGAAATTATTTAATATAAGATAGAAAAAAAAAAAAAAAAAAAAATGAGCAGTTTTAAGTATTGTCTCTGAAGATGGGACAAGAGCCCGAAACGTTGGATAGAAAAATAAATAAATAACAAACTGAAAAGAAAATAATTTCATGTAATTATACCTAAAAACCATCAAACTATATATAACATCAGTAAATAACTATATGAACTAAATAGTACACCGGCTAAACATAAAAAAAAAAAAAAATTATTTTGTTTTTTTAGGTATATATTTATAATATTTGTGTACAAATATTTATAATAACAAATTAAAACATTACAAAAATATAAATATGCTTATATTTTAAACGGGAAAAATGATTTTAAGAATAAAACTTCTTAAAAATAACATAATATACAACTGAATAATTTAAACAAAAAATTACTATATACAATATAAACAAATATTTAAAAAAAAATTATAATAATGGGATGGATTCATGGTTGATAGCCCAAACATTGCATAAAAGGAAAAATTAATACAAAAACTGATACTCAATATTTGCGCTTTCAACCAATAGAGTATATCCTTATTTTTTATATATACTTATTATGTACAGATTACTCAGTTTAAAAATCACAATTACAAATCAAACATTAGTAACATTAGACTTTTCTGCTTGCTCGAGTAAAAGCTGTAGATTACTCTCAAACAGTTCACAACGGATCGGCATGTCTAGAGAGTAAAAGGGATTTTTTAATGCATAATCAGCATACAGTTCGTAAATATTCTTCAACAATGAATCTAATCCTGTATGACCGGGATCTGCGATAATCATAAACTTGACACCTAAAACAAGGGAATATATTAGTTAACAATAGTTAATTAGAGCATATTACTAGAATCTTATTCCTAAAACATAACAAAAATAAGTCGTATCTTAAATTATAGCTTTTAGATGTTGCTGATAGTTGCCTAGTATTTCTCTATAGTTTTTTTTTTTTTTTCTTCACAGCCTAACTAATCTTTAGCCTCTCCTTCTTCTTCTTCTTTCTCTTCCTCTTCGACCCAATTGGGATAGCAGAGGCCTTGATCCAGCTCTGCCAGTTTTCCTAATCGCTGCTCAGCTGCTTCATTTCTGCAAGGGCCTTGCCTCTCTTACCCGGAATCCTCTTAATATATTCTTCATAGGAAATTCTAGACCGGCCACTTGGTCTTCTACCTGTATGTCTATATATATCAAAATGTATAGACATATATTGTGAAAAATGTGGGAAAAGTGATATTTCTAACTAGTGTATATGGGTTGAAACATATAAAAACAATAATTGCTGACGCGATCAACCAAGCGAAAACTTTTTACCAAGCCAAATAAGTCATATTTTTTGTTTTTTTCACTTATAACTCCTAAACAGCAAATTGAAGGATAAAATGTACTCTTCAAGAAATTAAAATTATTAGATAATTTTAGAATGTTTTTATGTTCGTAAGATAAAGTTTTAAATCAAAAAAGAGACTGTCAATGGTAAACAAAATCCTAACCTCTTAAGAACATTAAATTTTGGGTCGAACGAGCACCTAAACTTAATAATTTTGTTAAGTGGTATGGTAGAATACCACAGTTAAGGAACACTAAGTTTTACTAAATTTGTCAAAAACTGAGACAAAATACTATAAATGGCTCTGCAGCTTGGAAATGAGTTCCTTAAGTGGCAAACCCCACAGAATCAAAGTTGTAGAGCATCCACATTTTGTCCACTGAGTACTAACATTTTTAATGTAAGTCAACTTACTCCTCACATTGGTAATGTGATTTTGAATATTTGAACAGTTTGTTTGTTCACTATTCTACTGAGTGTTTCTTGTTAAGAGTCTGCAATATGGAGTATAGGCTTCTTTTTTCATCTCTTAGCAACGATTTTGAGAAAAAATGAATTTCATGAAGAAATAACAAATCATGATTCATGAGATATAATTGACCTACATTAAAAGATTAGATGCTCTACAACTTTGATTCTGTGGGTTTTTCCTCTTACATGAACTCATTTCCAAGCTATGGGACCATTTATAGTGATTTGTCTCAGTTTTTGACAAATTTGGTAAAAATCAGCTTTTGTTAACTGTTTTCTACCATACTACTTAACCAAATTATTAAGTTTAGGTATTCGTTCAACGCACAATTTGACGTTTTTAATTTCTTAAAGAGTACATTTTTCGCTTTGATTCACCGTTTAGGAGTTATATGTGAAAAAACAAAAAATGATAAAAAAATATGGCTTTTTTGGCTGTAAAAAGTTTTCCCTTGGTAATTTTTGTTTTTGAACCCATAAACACTAGTTAAAAAAAGTGACAACTTTTTCTCACACAAAATATTTCCTGTTTTGATCCTCAAATTAGAGGCCTAATATTCTTCAAATCAGCTGTCATTTTTGTTGCTATTAGTTGCTCTGAAATGGCAGACAAGATTCATTTTACTTAGAATAACATACAGCTTTGTACTGTAAATTCAAATCTTCGTTTGCGATCAGGTCGATTTTTGGACCTTTGCTCCAAGGCTAGTTGGTCTAGCTTTCAGTTTCCTGGGTTATCTCATCTCATCTCTTAGATAAACATGTTAAAACCATTTTAACTGTCTTTTTTCCATGGTTGTCTTCAATGGAGGCACCTCTGATTGCTCTCTACTTCAGTTGTTTTTTACAGTATCGCCTGTCTTTCCCGCTGCTCTACGCAAGAACTTCATCTCAGCGCCAGTGATCCAGCTGACTGATGACCTGTCGAGCATCACCCAGCTCTTGACACCATCTAAGTAAGGACTGGTAGGTATATAGCCTCATATATGTGCATCTTAACATCTCTACCTACCTCATGGTGTCCTATTACGTAATTGTTGATCTGGTAGTACACATGGTTTGCTTAGGGCAGGGAGGCTGAATGGGCTTTTTTTTTTTTTTTGTTCTTCCCTACCTCGCCGTTTAGGCTAAACGGGATTTCCCCGGGCCAGAGGGTGAGGGCGGGGAATTTAAAATCCCTTCCGACACCGGAACGCGAACTCGTACTTATTTTTGTCTCTCATTACTTCATATATCTGGTTGCCGGGCAACTCACGGTGCTGTGCACACGCTTTAGCCCATTCGGCCACCCCGCCCCCTAAGGGCTGAATAGGCTAACACATGTGCACAGCACCACGAGTTGTCCGACAGCTAGATAACTGAAGTTATGAGATTAAAAAAAAAAGTCCAAGTTCGCGTCCTGGTGTTGGAGAGGATTTTAAATTCCTCAATCTCACCATCCGACCCGGGAAAATCCCGTATAGCCTAAAAGGCGAGTAGGAAAGAACAAGAATAAAAAAAAAAGAATGGTTTGCTTTAGAGACCCTGTTTGCTATTTCTTGGTCAATCCTACCAGATATATCTATGATGGTTCCCAGATAGGTGAACTCATTTACTACCTCTAGTGCCTACCCTACATCTTACAAAGCATTTAAACATTTTCTTCTTCATTATGCGGGATGACTAGGATCATACTTTTCGAGTCATTCATGGACAACCCTTTTCATCAACAATCCATTCCACCAGTGCTTGTTGCAATTTTTATTTCGAGTCTGCAATTAGGACTTAATCATCTGCTTATAGAAGACATTTTACAAGAACTGCTTGCATCTTCTATCTTCCCATTGCAGTATATGGCATTCTGTGCTTGCAAATCTTATGAATCTCATCCCACAAAACCACGAATAGGAGAGGACTAAGGCTTTCTCCCTGTCTGAACCCTTTGTGTCAAGAAGGAATGATTTGGGTTCTTTGCAATTACTCCTTATGACTCCTTTTTCGCTCCTATATGTGGATTTAATTGCCTGTATTAAATCTGATGGCACATTCTTTGCAGCAAGAGCATCCCATATTTCAAGTCGAAGTACAGAATCAAATACAGCTTTGCGGTGTAGAAAAGCCATATACTTTTATCTCTGTCCCATACCTTAAGACAAACAGAGAAGACCACCACAGTTTTTGTAAATGAGTTACATTTACAGAAGATCTAAAAACCAAAATCAGTAACTAAAACAATAAATAAAATATATACATATATAGAGTAAGAGAAATTTTCTTGTAATTTGAAAATCAGGGAGGACATTGTACATTTTTTGTGAAAAGTAATTTAAATAGAATATACTGGTGAATATTTAAATGAAGAAAATTGGACTGCACTGAATCGGTTACTCCAAACAAGCATGGAGTTACAGACTCCATTGTACATATAATCCTAAATGGTGTTTATACAGGCAATTTATATGTTTTTTTTAAGGAAAACTGTTATTATCAAAAATAAAAACCCAAACAAATTTTGATAAAAAGAAAATAATGATAACAACTAAATTTGTAGTAATGAAACAACAACTACTGCCACTGAGTAGTATTCTATATAAAACATTTTTTTTTTACTGTCTTTATGACTGCTGTTTTTGTTTGTTAGAATTTTGAAAGTGGCAATAAATGCCAAAACGTCTTAAGAGAAAATAATACTTAGTAGTAAAGAGATATTTTATTAATAATATAATAAGAATTGTTGAAGTATATGTAGTCAATTAAAAAATTATTCATATATTGATTAAATCTTAATAATTAAATTAATGAAGGCTTTGTGTTAGCAATTTTCCAATTATATCCTAACATTAAATTTGTTTCTTTTGTTTCATTATTTTTTTTTTTATAATATTAACAGTTCAATAATACAAAGATACTTACCTGTCAACGTTTGAAAGCATTGTAATTTAAATGTATCAGCCTCCAAAACTTCAATTCCAGAGCTCCTCGGTTCAGGACTAAGTTGACTAGCCAAAGCGAAGAGGGGGTAAAACATACTGGCCAGAAATATTTTCTCATTCGTTGTTACTCTAGGTCGGCTAAATTTCAAACTTAATGGATAATTTCCAGGATTGTTTATAACTTCGAAGGCGTCTCTTCCATCATCCATCTGTACACCAGTAACTGGTATTCCACCGACTGCAATCAGTACATGACCAACTGCAAAAGAAAATAAAGTTCCTTTGAAACAATTATTTAATTATTAAATACTTATTTACAAATATATATTACCAATAATATTTGAGAATTCTTGTTAAAAAAAACAAAAACTGCTTTTCAATAAACTAAAAAATAAATAAAAGGAGTTTATGCTACATAAAAATAATAAAAGAAGAAAAATAGATTTTATTCTAGGATTAAGTACCCTTAGAATAACTACAATGTACAATTTAATGACAATTGTCTGGCATTAGAAATAAGCAGGAATAAATTAAATTACAAGGTTATCTAGATCTAAAATTAAAAATTAAAATAAAGAAAAGGCACTGGTAGATATATGAAATTATAGATAAATTCTGATGTGCGAGCTCACATATTTGTACACATTAATGATGTAGACTATCTGTAGGATAACATTAAATGCGACTGACAGGTCTGAAAAACGTGAACATTATTTTACACATATTCGGAAGATTGATTGCTGAGAAGATTGATAGATAAATTATGTTTAAATGAGGTCAAGGATGAGGATTTGCATATGGAGGTTGGTAGGGAATTCCAAAACAAGATAGCACATATGACAAAGGATTTTTTAAAGGATACAGTTCTATGAGAAGGAATAAACAGATTTGAGGGCTGGGATTTCATGTTGAACGAATGGACAGAGGAACAAGGAGTAAACAAATTGAGAAGGTAAGAGGGTTCTTTGGTTGAAAAGGTTCGAAAAAGGAATACACCTAGGAAGTATTGCCGTCGGAAGACTGGATAGAGCCACTTCAACTTGGCATAGCAACTGGAGACGAGGGAGCACCTGGGGACTCCAAAGTTAATAGCTGTCTATCAACTGAATAATTGAAATGTTTATCAGCTGTCTGTTGAAATTTTACTTCTTCATAGGAAAACAACATAATAAACATTATTTTAATTGTTTTGATCATCAATAGATAATCAAGATTCCCGCTATCCTTTGGAATTATTAAACACATTCTATAAATCAATCAATGATATAAACTAAATTGAAACATTGCAGCAATCAAAATTAATTTTGGTACAAATGTACAAAAGTCACTCCACTTTCATGGGTGGCACAAGATCTCATAATCCTATAAACGGAATCATAGACAGAAGTGACTGAACCATCTGGTAGAGCCCCGACCTCAACTGAAAAGGAACTGTTGGGGGAATGTTTTATTAAATAGCAACTTATACTTTAGAATTACAAGAAAATACCACAAAAATTAGTGATCGAGTTGTTGAAATAGAGAAGCACTATTTCTGTTACCTGAAGTAACACTTTGTATTTAATCTTTCTCGAGCCATTACTTTATAGACAATATTTCCGGGACAGTATTTCAATATAGACAATTTATACATGCCAATGTGAACAATACTTTTTCATAAGTAATTAAGATGAGATTTATGACTGCTTAAATCAGAATAACTCAAATAACAAAAAGTGGAGCCCAAATAAAATGCATGATTAGATTTACCTGTTATACCATCTCTCTGTCCAAATGAAACTACTATTTTTTTATTTTCAACAACCAATTTAAGATCTATAGGATATGTAAAATTGAACTCATTTATGACTTCAGGGACATTGTGATCGTGATTAAAAATTAATCCACCCGATTTGGAAACTATGTAAACTCCATAAATACCCATAATTTAAATACCTAAGAGAACTGAACTTATTTGATGACAACTTTATCAAGAAGGTAATTCTTTGGTTTCCGCTATCAAAAACATGGGCCGGCTGATGTCAATACAGCCAACAGTACAAAATAATAATTTTTATTGTTTTAAAAAAATAAAAAATATTAAAAAAACTAAATTTTCGAAAGTGTTTTTGATAATACAATTCTTTCTCATTACATAACTAAACACACACTCTTTTATTTAAGTAACTTGATTGTCCCGTATCAATTTTATGAGATTTCATCCCTTAATTTCGCGTATGTCTAGAAAACAAACATTAAACTACAAAACGTTAATAATTTATGGCCCAGCAAATGTAATAAAACTCTAAAATCACAGATCGATTTAAAAATGACAAGATATCTAAAAAACAATTAGACAAAGCTCTAATAAATTATGGTAAACATTTATATCACCCATCATTACCGTTTGATCTTTTCTAGTGTGTGTAAGTAGAAAGAAAACAGAATGATGGTCAATAGAAGTGGAATCAATTACGAGATAATTGAAACAAGCTTCCTAAAATTACCACAGCCGTAGAGAACGAGCCTTCCAACATTGACGCAAACGAAAGAAACAACTCTTCAGACGTTACTTATGAGTAGGTTTAGTCAGTGGGATATCTAGGATATGGTAAGTTGGACATGTGTCCTGGACGTCATTCAAAGGGGACAGAAAATTCGCAAAATACTAAACTTAAAAACCCAACTAAAGCAAGTCCTTCTTCTTATTCGGCGTTACGACCCACTAGTTGAGTCATAGCCTGCTCAAGCTTAGACCGACAGTCCTCCCTGTTCCGTGCTGCTGCCTTCCAGTTCATAACACCGAGCGGAAATCTCGCGTCTGCAGCCACGTAGTCTTCCCAGCGAAGCATGGGGCGTCTAACCCGCCTTGTACAATACATTTGTCCAGCTAAGATCTTGTAAGGAACTTCGTTTGGATCCATCCTTATGACGTGACAAGCTGAGCGAAGTCTTGATACCTTTACGAATGTTGATACGTCTATTTCCTTGTACCTCGCTTTTAACTCAGCATTCGTTCTTCTTCTCCATGCGCCTCCCTCATAAATACAAACGGAGAAGGAGATGCTCAAGGGCTTCAGTTGTAGTCCAATATTCTAAGCCATATGTATGAACTGGTCGTATGATTGTCTTATAAATTCTCACTTTCGAGGTCTTCGACAAAGCAATATATATATATATATATATATATATATATAAAGCAAGTCCTACTTCAAATAATTTCTCGATTCCTGTACCTCTTGCTCTACCGGATTCAGGATTTAATTTTTTTGGGGAGTGGTTAGGGGGCTTCAGTCCGAAAGGTTTTTTTCTCATATATATAACGATAATTACTTTGGTAAAAAAAGAAAGAAAGTAACTTACTATATGAAATGGTATTTAAGTGATTATTAAACTCCTATTAAATGTAGTTACAGGAACAATAATACTTTAAGAGACAATTTTCGTCCATAAAACATGGGTATATTTTATCATTTTGAAGGGGGAGCTTCAGCCCGAAAGTTTGGAGGAAATTTTCAAACCAAGAAACAAAAGAAAAACAACTAGGGTAAGCGCACCTGTGAAGGACATAGCTATGGAAATTTTTGGCTTATGCTACCTTTTAAAAATACACATTTTTGCACTAGTGATTGACACCCTGAACTTCAATTGTTCTAGTAATTGACAGAGAGTTGGTACCAGTATAAAACATACCTTAGAAAAATTCTAAATTTTATTTAACTATAAAAACAACAATAAAGATAAGATAACATAAATATTCAACTTACTTTTAGAAAAACTGTAAGTAGGAAGGTGTGAAAGACACTGATCTCAAGAGTACTGTAGAAACAACAATGATAGGCATTTTAAAATTTTCTTTTGAGAACTTTGTTCATACAGTTGTCAATGGAGAGCATTGTTCTTCAATCTAGAAAAAAAAAACTGGAACCTTTCAGTCAACAAGGAAGCTTATTATTTACAGTAAGGCAAATGAGGTCAAAGGGTTTGCGTAAAATCTTACGCTACCAATATTTCATTCGGAGCAGTCATTTGTGACTACAGGGCAATTTTTTTATTTTAAACTGTGAGTTTAATTTGACGTGACTGTCCGGAAGCATCTGTTCCTGGTAGTTATACGTGTTTTTATTTCAACAGTAGTCATAATCTTTTGTTATCATGAACCCCAAACACAAGCGTCGCAAACTTATGAAACATTAGGAGAGAGGGCAAAGGTTAAAATGTCATGTCAGTTTTCTGCATGCATTATAATATAATTATTGTTTATTGAACTTGTTTGTTATTTAGTTATTTAAAAATAAATGACGCTGAAATATACGAAGGTTTAATAATTTTGGCATACATGATAAATTATTGGGAGGTGGATCTTTCCCGAGGCCCCGAATGCCCCAAATTATTAAATAGACACATATTTGTGAACGAAATAAATTATAGTGGGTTGATGGTTAACTGTAATGAATAATGAAGAGAAGGATATTTGGGGTGATCAGTCAAAAATAAATAATAATATTTATTTTAACATTTGCAGACGTTTCGACCCGAAGTTCAGGACTGATCGCAATTGGTAGAAGAGATCGCTATTGATAGAATGAGTTGTAGTATTGTAACAAAGTTACAAAGTTCAGCAGTGAATTTTGTACCGTTGCTCACCAGAATCAAAGCCTAGTTAAGTATTGCATTTTTATTTTATGTTTTCAAAATATCATAAGTTGACTCAAATTGACCCTTTCGTTACGTATAAAGGAGTTTGTATTTAACAATGTCAGGGTAATTTTACTTCATATATTTATAATTTATTTGTTAACTTTATAGTTTATTTTATTAACTTTATTTATTATATTATTTAATTTATTTTGTTAACTTTAACATTTATTTATTTATAATTTATTTGTTAACTTTGTTCACTGCTGAACAGTTATTTAAAAAAAAAAAACTAACTTTTAATTATTTATTTACAGCCCATCAAATAAATTACTTGACTGGGATTAATTTTCAACGTAAAAGTATTATTGTGAGTCATTTTTCTTATTGTATTATTATTTGTTTCATATTCTCTCAATCTAGTTGTACCATAGTATATTTCTATCAATAGCGATCTCTTCGATCAATAGCGATCAGTCCTGATGAAGGCCTGAATTTCGGGTCGAAATGTCAGCAAATGTTAAGATAAATATTATTATTTATTTTTGCCATTTTTATTTTTGACTGATCACCCCAACTACAGTTCTCTTCAAATGAATTATAAATATATAAAGTAAAATTACCCTGTCCTTGTTAAATCCTAAACATCTTTATACGTAACGAAAGTGTCAATTTGAGTCAACGTATGAGATTTTGAAAAGATAAAATGAAAAAGCAATACTTAACTAGGTTTTGATTCTAGTGGGCAACGGTACAAAATTCACTGCTGAACTATGTTTTAGATCTTTCTCCTACCGTCACACCACTCTTCTAATATCTTTGTATTTTCACCGCCAATGTAACCAAACCGTTACCTACGAATTGTTTGTAAACTTTAATGTGAAAGGTGAATTCGGGCTAATGTAGTTTTAGAATTCCGTATATTTATCAAAAATGTCGGCCTTTCCTCCTAAAAAGGAACGAACTGGTGATACCATCAGGCCTTTTAAATTATAAGTATCTTTTTTATTTATCTCAGTTACAATTTAAACCGTTATTTAAAAAAAAAAACTAACTTTTAATTATTTATTTACAGCCCATCAAATAGTCAGCTTGACTGGGATTAATTTTCAACGTAAAAGTATTATTGTGAGTAATTTTTATTATTGTATTATTATTTGTTTCATGTTCTCTCAATTGATTAAGATCATTGTATGTTTTAGGGTGTTGTGGAATTGACAATTGTACCTCTTAAAGATAATTTGAGGGTAATTAAACTGAATGCAAAACAGTGTCGTATTTACAGAGTTTCGTTGAATGATACTTATGAGGCACCTTTTCAATATTTTGATCCTTTCTTGGACATTACCCATGGCGATGAAAAAGAGTAAGCATTTGATATAATTGTTAATGTTGAATAGCTTTTCAGAGTCTATAGTTGAATCAACAGATTTGAAATATTAATAAATTAAAGTCTTAACTTCTACTCTAGCTGTTATTGATTCATTATTTGATAAAATTGTGTAAAATAGTTTTGTGGATTTGTAATTAGTTGAGTTGTGAAATTGTTAAGATTAGCACTTATCATAGTATATTGTGCTCTTTTATCTTTCATTTGTCAATTATCAATTATCATTTACAGAGTATGATTATATTCTGATATATCAGCTGTGGATTAACCCTTCTGGAGAATACTCAGCCTACACAAAGGAGCAAAAGATTGAGTGTAATCTTGGCCAAAGAGCCAGTGAAAGTGTCACTTTTTATTATTTATTGAGTTATTGATTTCAATGATTTATGGATGGAAAGATGTATTCTTCTAAGGAGTTACAGTACTAAAAATATATTTAATAATTATAATCTTATAGTTTTTTTTTTTTAACTTTCTGAAGTATCCATGAATTGTCAACTTATAACTTGGTTAAAAAAAAAATTGAGTTACCTGTTTTTTTCTGTCCCTTCGTAGAATGATTTCTATGATAAGTGATAATTTATTATTAAACTTATGTTTGCAGGCTTATAATATAATTACATTATTTAAATTTACTTATTTAATTTGCATTATTTTTTCACTAAAAGATTGATAATGATAATGGGTGTTATGAGCTTTTTTTTTTGGCAATTTTACTCAACATATGATCTATTTTTTGCAATTTATACATAATGTCATTATTGATTTTAAGGAGATCATTGGAGCAGTTTTCACCTGCTCATTATGCAGCAGCAGTACAGACTGATCCCGATAACAATGGCGGTGAGTTGGTTGTTACCATTCCTCCTGAAGCATCGGGCATCATTAGTGAAGGAAGAAATGTTCGCGTTAGCGTCGAATTCTCCTTGGAAAACCCTCAGGGCGGTGTCCATTTTGTTATTCCTGAAGGGGAAGGAACCTTAGCAGAGGTAATTCTATGTTGCAATTAAAATTATGTCATCTGAATATATTTATATAATATCTATTAGTAAGAATAATTTTTTTAACATCATATTAATGATCAATTTTCATTTCAGCGAGGAGCACATATGTTTACCTATTGCTATGAAAATTCGTCCCGTCTTTGGTTTCCTTGTGTAGACAGCTATGCTGAGCCGTGCACATGGCGCCTGGAATTCACAGTTGATGAAAATATGACAGCAGTGTCTTGCGGCGATCTCATCGAAGTTGTCTACACTCCCGACATGAGGAGGAAGACATTTTATTATGGTCTTAATATACCTGCTGCAGCTCCAAACATTGCATTAGCAGTTGGGTAATATTTATACTATTTACTTGTGTTATTATTATTTATTATTAGTTACAATATTTTATATAAATATTTAATGGATTTATTAGGCTCTACTGATTATTATATTATATTCTTACATTATTTTCCAAGATTAAATCTGTAAGACAGTTACCAATCGCAAATCCAATCGAGTACAGCCCTGGCCTTTTCAATCATGATATGTTTGATAAGGATAGTCTTATCAAAATCTTGTATCGAATTTTCATTGTGCAGTTTTCAATATATCATTACGTTTTAAAACCCTCTAAATACTAAACTGTCTCTTGTATAATGTAAATAATTTAAATATTTTATTTACTTTTGTTGCAGGCCATTTGAAATTTTTGTGGATCCATACATGCACGAAGTGACACACTTTTGCCTTCCTGGGTTGATGGAAAACTTGAAAGTTTCTGCTCGTTATATGCATGAGGCCTTTGAATTTTACGAAGAAACACTTTCCAATCGCTACCCTTATCCTTGTTATAAACAAGTTTTTGTAGATGAAATAGATTTGCCATCACATTCATATGCAACAATGAGTATATTGAGGTATATTATATTATATTAAATCATTAACTTGAGAGTTTACTCAATAATTTTAATAAACATCAATAATATCATTGATTGTGATATAATTTCATTTCAAATTATTATGTTTATTGTAAGCAATATTAAAATATATAATTGAGTTCATAAATAAAACTGATGTTATCAGTCAATTGAGTTAATTAATATCAGTCTTGTCTACATATTACATAATTAAACATTATTTTTTTATTTGAGTTTTGTACAACTTAAGGAGTCATATTCCCAACACCCAAAAGCCACTGCTTCCTCTCCATCCAATCTCCTTCACGGAGCCCTCTGGCTGCCATGCTTTCCTCCACGTCGTCTATCCATTTCTTCTTTGGCCTTCCACGCTTCCTTCTTTCAGGTGGCAAATAAGTATAAATTTTCTTTGGCCAGCGGCTCTCATCCATTCGCATTAAGTGGCCATACCACTTTAACCGTTTGGTCCTGATCAGGTGAAGGATGTTCTTTTGACATCCGACCTTGTCTCTAATAGCTGCGTTTGGGATCCGCTTGATTCTAGATATGCCACAGCTTCTTCTCCAGAAATCCATTTCCATGGAAAGCAACTTATTTTCCATCTTTTTTGTCATCGTCCAAACTTCTGACCCGTAAGTGGCTACGCTTTCTACAAAGGAATGGTATATCTTCTTTTTAGTTTCCAATCTTATTTCTTTACTTCATAGGGTTCATAAACATTCTTTGAAACCAATTATAAATTTATGTTTTAGCTTGGAGGAAAAAAATGTATTTATCATGTAAGATTTTTGAAAATTATCTCATGAATCTAAAAGCAGTTTTACCTTAATCAAATAAAACAAGAGTTAATATTTATAAGATTAAAATAAATTACAACAAATCACTTTACCTGCCCATCAAATCAACTTTACTCTATGTCATAAATCTATGAGTTCCTGTCCTATAATCAAGGAAGGTTAATAATAATCAAGTTCAAATGTTACCCTTAGCTATCCCCAATCCTTGAAATGCCCTCAGGCAGTGGAAGGACCGACCATGTTGCTTTTATATATTTGTATTGTTATACTTATATATGTAATTTAATTAAATAAACTTTTTTGGAGATTAGGCAAAACAAAAAAAATAATTTAATTAAGGCCTAGTGATGACCCACATACTTGGGTTGAAACGTCTGCAGCAATATAAACCTTTAAAATGACTATTTATCACCTATAAAATACAGCTTTACTTTATTATAATAAGGCCACTTTGGACTTATGGAGTTGAGCTTCAGGTGTCTAATAAACCATCAAATTCCTCTTGTATCCAAAACTTTACATATTCATTGAATATGGATTTTAATGATGTTTTTTTAAAGTCCTCAATTCTCCTTGTTTTGCCCCAAATAAAATTATTCATAATGTTCCATAAGTTGATTTAATCCATTTCTGATACCTATCCTTCCATAATAAAGTTGAGGTTCATCGAAACCCACTAGTTTCTAACCTTGTATCCTCTTTGGCTCCTGACGATCCTCCTAGGTGTCTGAAAAGAAGATGGCCTCAGTACCTTCTAGTATAGAACTGTTGTTGGATTTTTACCAGTTGGTAGTTCTTTACAAGTCTATCCATGTCATTATACCAATTCTTATTTCCCTGTTGTATATTTAGTTAATATAGTTGTAAATTTCATTAAATATATTTATAAAAAAAATATAGATGTTTATTATTTGTTTATGATAGTGATGCGTACCTCTTAGGTTTAAAAAACCTTTAATTGTTTTTTGTTTTTCAGCACGAATCTTTTACATCCTAGTTCTATAGTAGACCAGACTTATATCACTCGCACAACAATGGCTCAAGCTGTGGCCGAGCAATTTTTCGGCTGTTTCATTTCGATGCAGAATTGGTCAGATGCATGGCTTCCGAAAGGAATCGCTACCTACCTCACTGGCCTTTATTCGAAAAAATGTTTTGGAAGCAATGCCTATAGAGAATGGATACAACGGGTAATAATTGGATTTATAATTTTTAACCTTTTTTTTCTTTCAATATAAATATTTCTAAAAAAAAATCTTTGAAATCGGACAATTTGTTGCAAAGATATGGTGTTCTAGATATTTTTTATATGTTCTACTCCAAAGAATATATTCTTTGTTTTGGTTTTTAATTTTAGTGTTACTGAAGCAATGCAATTTTTCTTGACAAAAAAAATATTTAGGCCAATAATAGGAATCACCTTTTTTCGGTTTGTTCGGAAATTATAAATTGTGTAATCATTTTATATTGTATAATATTTATTTTTTTATATTGTTGGCTCAAGGCACATCGACCCCTGAAGGGTCCATTGTGCGCATGTATAATATTTAATAATTTGTGACAGATTAAAAAATAAATTAACTGTAACTTATTTTATGTGTGTTTGATGATACAGGAACTGCAAGACGTCGTCAAGTACGAAGAGGACTATGGAGGGATTATAATGGACCCTAGCCAGCCGCCGGCTCCTCTTCCCATCGCTGGTAACATGCCAGCAGCTACATCGAACAAACCTGTTGATCCAGGATTCCACTTTCCAATTAGAAATTTGTATACGATATCTCCGCTCTATATGGAAACAATGAGGAAAAAAGCTCATCTAGTCATTAGGATGCTTGAGCACAGGATCGGTTACGAATTGCTCCTTCAAGTAAATATTGTTGTATATGTTCTTAATACCAAGAATGGTTAGTTTTATTATGTAATATAGTAGTCCCTTATTAACACAAACTCAGTGGAAGACGAGGTGACGACCGACCTGGAAAAAAGGGAAAATTTCTGTTTTTCTTCAGTCTATTTTCTTTCATCTATAATAAATAAATTTAGTTATAAATTATACATTTTTAATATTTGTGTCCCCAGACATATTTGTCTGGGAAAACTATTAAATAGGGAAATGTCAGAGAATTTTACTGTAATTGTCTAATTAAATGTCTGGTAGCCACTCTGAAGACTGAATTCTCCAGTTTGTGTTTAAAAAATTTTTTTTTATTCAAGAAGAAGGATTAGTCTTGAGATAGAATCTAGGAAATCAGAAAAAGCCGATAGCTCTATATATTTCTCGAACCCTCTTCATTTAACCTAGTCAGAACAGGGCTTCCCTCTTCTTATTTATTGTTAATTTAACAGTTATATTTCACTTACACATTATTAAAAAAAAAAAATGAATGCTAAATGATGAGGATTTACTAGTATATAATCTAGAAATATATAATATTTAGTAGTATTAATTCTCTTGTTCAATATGTCATAAAATACATTCTATGAACATAGGTTCATAATTTTTTCTAAAATTCCAATTTTATTTACAATCATTAATATTAGTAGACATAATATACAGTGGTAGAAGGAAATGAAAAGGGACAAAATTTCTTTGCTATCCTACCAACTTCTTAATTAGTTTGTACTAAGTTGATACCCATTTATGTTGCAGAATCATATCGTATAACTATGAATAAGAACTCTCTATAATTACATATAGTCGTCCGGTAATTTTTTTCAATACCATTCACAAAATGCTGGTATTCTCTTTATCTCTTTGGTAAAAAGTAGAATTTAATTTATTCATAGTTAAAAGAACAAGAATTTTAGTTCAATTCAATTTAGTTTAGAGATAATAATAATAATAAAAGGCTTAGCTAACCCGAAGGTTCGATGCCGACACCACCAATCGCTTATTACACACCTCCCTCCACCGTTCGCCGTCCAAACCCAGTCCCTTCAGATCGGCTTTAATGCAATCTTCCCACCTTCGCTTCGGTCTACCCCTCGGACGCTTACCATTCGGCACAGCAAATATTAACCTTTTAGGAATTCTCTCGTTACTAAGCCCAACAACTTTACAAGCCCATTTGATTCGCCGCGATGAAATTACCTCAATTATATTACCCGGATACAGTTCACGCAATTCGGCGTTGTGTAACCGTCTGAACTCTCCGGTTAATCATCCTTCTTCGGTCTGAATATTCTACGCAATACTTTATTTTCAAAAACCTTAAGACGCTGCTCATCCCTTAATGTAAGCGGCCAAGTTTCACATCCATAAAGAACTGTAGGCAAGATAATTGTTTTATAGATTCTAATTTTTAAGTTCAGGGGCAAGAGGCGCGAACTAAGTTTTGTCACAGAAAAATAACAAGCATTTCCCGCCTTCAGTCTAACCTTAATCTCTTCTTCAATTACGTTTTTTCTAGTTATCATAGAGCCTAGATACCTAAATTTATCTACCTGTTCAAACATATTACCATCTATATCGATATCACCATTAGTATGGCCATTTTTGCAGCTAACCATATATTTTGTTTTATCCACGTTTATTTCGAGTCCTAGTTTTTTCCGGCTTTTATTAACGTTGTCATTTAGTTTTATAGTTTCAACATCTTCGCTTAACAGTACCAGATCATCAGCATAGCCCAGCACGGATGTTGTCCCACCCAGATCCAACCCTTTCTCGGTACGCATTACCTCCCTAGTTTAGAGATAAACAAAGTAAATTACAGATGTCGATGACCTTAAAGTTTTACGCCTTAAAGTCCCACAAAACAAACAAGAATCAATTATTTTTTTGTAATATACAACAGCAGATGATAAATTTTCGTCATTTGGCTGTGATTGTTTCTTGGTGGACGAATATTAGTTAAAATTTTGTACTCATAGTATGGTTGTTAATGAAAGTAGTGTGATGTGCACATTTTGAGATTTTTTGTAGATCAAATATCTGAATTTTCAAATTCTCGTAAAAGTGGTAAGAGTTGAAATTAAAATATCTTATTTGAATCGATTCAGACTTTAATAAAGTTACTAATGATAGTGTTGACTTCTCTGCCAGCAGGACTTTGTGTCTTCCCGGAAGGATGTATGTTCTATCATTAAACTGATTTGAGATATCTGATTTAAAAATACTTTAATTTTGGTTCATAAAAATGTATAAACAAAATATTTAAATTAATCCTAAGAAAGTTAAAATATTTAAATGTTTTATTTGTTAACTATTATAACTTTTTTTTTTAACCTTTGATTATCTGTTTTATTAGGTTTTGAACAAACATTTGTCCTTAGCATCAAACGCTTCAGTGTTGAAATCAGCTTCCGGGCAGTGGTCACATATGCTTATCAGCACCAACACTTTCGCTAAAGCTATATTCACCGTGACTGGTAAAGACATGGCCGTTTTTATTGATCAATGGGTTCGCACGGGTGGACATGCAAAGTTCCATTTATCATTCATCTTTAACAGAAAAAGGTTCAATATTGTTTTATTTACTTTATTGTTAAAATGTTTGCATCAGTTAGTTTTCCGCCCCCTCACATGGGCGAATAAATACAATTTTTAAGCTTTTCGCAGAAAATTTTCTGATGTAAAAATTTAAAAATGTATCTGTTATACAGAAAAGGAGGTAGATATCTGTACTATGGTAGTAAATGATATTATGTCCATTTTTTCATTAAATAATTTAGTAACGAAGAAACAAATTTAAATTGCGCAATGTTATATACCACTGGCTCCCTTCAACAAATACAAAAAAAAAAAAAGGTGTTGTTTATCTCTGGAGTACAGATAATCATAAAATTGTTATAGACAAGCCTCTATATATATAAAAAAAAAATATGAGGTATGACGATTAACCTTTTAGTTGAAATGAAAATATTTTTTTATTATCCTGGGACTGTTGTCCCTTTAGGACAAATTACAGATACAGAATAAATGCCGGTGTGGCCATACCGAAAATTAATTATTTACAATTATTATTAAGATTAAGATTTTTGAAAAAAGAATAAAACAAAAAATAGAACTATTACACTAAAAACTTACTGATACAAACGTGAGAAAATAAAATAGCATAAGTAAAGAAAATCATTTCTGGAGGAACTTTAAAAGTTCTCTTATCTACTTAAAAGTTACTCTTAGTTATGATGAGTGGTAAGGACAGAGCAGCCTTGTAGATGGTATTAGTGAAGACTTATCGGTGCTTCTATAACGGAATATTTTTTATCACCGATACTCACCACTTTAGCCATTTTATTTAGGACATCATTTCAAACTTCTTTACTTTGTTTTTTTACCTATCTTAATTACCTATTGTCTCATAGAAAGGTCACGAGATAGTTTTAAAGTAGAATTGGTCTACTTTATATTGAGCATCCCATCGTTTAACAAAAAATAGTCCAACTCATGTATTAGCATGACAGGCTTCCAACTCATGTGAGTCCATTGTCACCAAGGCATGATCCCATCTTGACTCATTTATGAATCCACTGTTTTTAAAGGGTTAAAACGAATATTTATCCAAGATTAATTACCTTTTAAACCATTATTGCATCTTGTTAAAATGATATCCTTGTTAAATGATGGTTTTTAATTTTTTTATTTTGTTTAACTCCTACCTCACCATTTTTGGCATACTGGGTAGTGAGAGGAAGGTTTATTCTAGATGTACTACCAAACCTATTTTAACCCAGAGTGAAAAAATCAAGATTCATTCTGTGGGGGTCCCAAAATATTTCTTTCGGCCAGGCTGCTCACCCCCCTCCCCCCAAGGTCGATGGCGCAAGAACCACCTGCCCTCCTCCCAAGATATTTTGTTGCTTAACTTTTCTTAAAAACAGGGAAAACTAAAGTAGATTTAGAAAAATTGTAGATCATATACAAGTACACTTGCTGCTGTCTGTTACATGTTTTCCCCTAGTCCCTTAGTCTGAAAATTCTTAGCCCCGTCGAAATTGGCCCCCCATAAAAATTCAAAAACCCGTTAAAATATACTCCCCTAAAAATTTTGATTTTTAGCCACTGAAACTTGTGCCATGAAACCCCCTTCTGAGCACCTCTGATCTAATCTGTTAAAACAGTTTACAATTATTATTTATAAAATAAAATTCATGTACTTATATCAATTAAGACAAAGCTAAAGTACTCTTTCATCAAATAAATAGAATGTGATTATATATATATATATATATATATATATATATATATACAGGGTGTTTCAGGATTAAGTGACCAAACTGCTAATATGAACTAAGGACCTCAAAACCAGAAAAAAAAGTTCTCTGAAGGTATATCCGCAAATGCTTTGTTTAGGAAATATTCATACCTAAAGATTTTAGTTGTTATGAATTATTTACGTTGTATGAAATAAATAAAACCTATTTATTTGTTCTAGCTACTTTATTAATTAAATGTAAACATTAACATTCTTCTTAACATTAACATTTCTTGCCGGGCACGTTTCTGGAATTTCTTAATAAAGATTATTATGATTTAGTTGAACATATTCCACTACAACTGAGAGAGCGATACGTAGCTTCAATTAGATGGTTATCCAGCACATTACGGAAGAGGCCCAATATTTAATTATCCCAATCAATGGATTGACCCAGCAGGACCAGTGGCTTGGCCTGCACGCTTTCTAGACCTGACACCACTGAATTTTTTTGTTTGGGGTGACATTAGACAGAAGGTTATGTCAAGTCCGGTCAATGACCTTAATTCCTTACGAAGAAGGATAATTGAATCTTATGAAACAAGAACAGATATCCAGTGCTGTTCTGCCACTGCTGCTGTTGAAGAAAGATCCCGAGCCTGTCTTAATGCTCAAGGAAATCATTTTGAACAACATTTAATGTTTACATTCAATTCATAAAGTAGTTGGAACAAATAAATAAGTTTTATTTACTTAATATAACATAAGTAATTCATAACAATGAAGATCTTTAGGTATGAATATCTCCTAAATAAAACGTTTGCGGACATACCTTCACAGGATTTTTTATAGGATCCTATATAACAACATTAAGAACAAAAAAATTTAAAACTTACTGGTCAAGTCAAACCCTCGATAAAGACAAGATACTTTTATTACTTCTTACTTATCTTTTTCATTTCTTTATAATCCAAAAACATTTTTTAGCTTAGTACAATGTTTTTATTATGCTTAAGCTATATAACCGTTATCTAATTTGTACATTACATCTTTTCCTTTTCTTATACTTTTATATTTATCTTTTTTTCTGATGTTATTTTATATTTTTTAATTTTTAGCCCCGATGATGACCCCATGTTTGTGTCAAACGTTGCCAAACTCAATAAACTTAATGTTTTGACTACACATCCTAACCATTTTTCATCTTTTTAATAAAACTAAATATAATTTTTTTTTTCTTTTTAGAAATACTGTCGAACTTGAAATAAGACAAGATGCAGTCTCTCAGCGAGGCATTAGAAAATATGTCGGTCCTTTACTCGTCACAATTCAAGAACTGGATGGTACTTTTAAACATAACCTTCAAATAGAAGGGAACGTCGCGAAAGCTGATTTAACTTGTCATTCTAAGAGTCGTAGGAATAAGAAAAAGAAGATCCCATTATGTACAGGCGAAGAAGTGGATATGGATTTAACAGCTATGGAGTGAGTATTCCAACTTAAATCATAACAAAACAAATTAGTTTTCAATTTAGTTAAGTTTCAATGCATTATGTTTAACAAATATAAATATAGGGAGTTAAAGTTTATTCAATGATTAATCTTCATATTCTCTATGTTCTTCTAATGATTTTTATTTATTTACTAACTTTACCCGGTCACGCGCTGCTGTGGCTTAGCCTGGCAAAATGAAAAAGAAAGCACATATGAGTAGATTAGTAGCAAAGGACATCTGTCATTTTTAAAAGTTGGGAAACAAATTTGTCTGTAAAATGGCTTCAATTTAAACTAATTCTAATGATTTTTTTTCTCATGATTCAAATTGAACATTCATAATCATCTGAGTGAATACGTCGTCATTCATAATCATCAGAAACAGTTTGAGTTGAACTTATAAAACTAAATTAAAAAATTAATTAAAAAAAACGTATAATAGTATTGACCTACATAAAGAGAATCATATAACTTCTTCAAATGATAATTTCAATTACTGTAGTAATTATAACATTTTCGATCAATAAAAAAAAATGCTTGCTGACCTTCTGTAGTGAGGAAGCAAAAGGAAATGGCCTTTTCTGAAGAGAAAGCAGTAAATGTTTAAAACTCTATAACTGTGTAACGAACCGTCCGATTTCGATGATTTTTTTTTTTATTTTGTTGGCAAATCAGGAAAATTGTGTATTTTTTTAGTTATCGGCAAATACAATATTGAATTCATCGTAATATTTTTCAGCTTGTTTTCAGGAAAGTATGTTATACACATAAATTAAAAGGGTTTCAAGGGGAAGACTTTAGCCAAGTTTCGTTAAAATCGGTAAAGCCGTTTTGGCGCTACAGTTTATAGCGACACATTTTTTTGCAGCTTTGAACAGAAAAACATTTACATTTTTATTTTTACATATACAAAATTATAGTAAGACAGAAGTACTATGCCAGAAATCTTCCCAGGAATGTACGGAACAACTTCCCAAAGTTTCATGGCGATCGGTTGAATGGTTTAGTAATGCACTAAGGACAAACAGACAGACATACAATCATTTTTATATATATAGATTTTTTGTTTTTCTTTTCATATTTAGATCACTTATCAACAAATTAAATTTGAGAAGAAGCTCAGAACCTAATAATATGATTATTTTGTTTTACTATTTTCAATAACCAATCTTTGTAATCGACCAAGAAAAAAAAAGGTTAACTCCTCTCAAAATTTGAGATTTGTTTTAAGATTCAGTATCAATGTCAAAGGGCACTCGAAAATGATCCTCCGGCATTACCATCTATCCTTCCTTTCAAGATGTCAGCCAAAAAACCTGTGTCGCTATAGACTGTAGCGCCTAAATCAATATACCAATTTTGATAAAACTTGACTAAAGTCTCCTCATTTGAAGCCCTTTAAATTTATCTAATTAACATATTTCACAGAAAAGCTACAAAAAAGTTACGGGAGATGGTAAAATTAGATTTTCCAATAACTCAAAAAGTTTACACTTATTTGTGTTTGTTTATGGTTATTTAAAGTTTGAAAATTTCGAAACAAAAAATTAATCATTGAAATACGACGATTTGTTGCTAAGCTATGTTGTTCTAAATATTTTCCACATGTTCTGCTCCAAAACTGATATTCTTTGTTTTTATTTTTTGAAGATCTTACATCACCTAAGTAATTGAGATTGTTGTTTCAATTTCTTCACAAAATTGTAATGATGAAGAAAAAAAAAAATTATTGAAGCCTACATTAGGAATCACTTTTTAATTATTTTCCTCTGTGTGACAAGGAAAGTAGTCTTACCTAGTGTATATAACTGTTTGGAAATAATAAACCATTGTGTAATAATTTGCAGTTTTTTAAATTTATTCATTTTTAATTAAAATTTTATAATTTATGAATTATAATTAATACAAATATATAATTTAAATTTTAATGCTTAGTGTTTTGTTTTAACAGCTCAGATTCTCCCGTCCTTTGGATTAGACTGGATCCTGATATGACACTTATACGCTCTTCTAATATCGAACAGCCAGATTATCAATGGCAGTATCAGTTACGGCATGAAAGAGATGTGACCGCTCAGTTCGAAGCAATACTAGCCTTAGAAAGGTTTACGACACCTTCGACACGAATGGCGTTGACTGATACAATTGAAAACGATCAAACATATGTAAAAGTTAGATGTGCTGCAGCTCACTGTTTGACTAAGGTCTTTATAATAATATTTTTTTACTTTTAGTTTTATAATTTTTTTTTGTCCATTATTTGCTTGTGAGACTTTGGCAACATCAAATACATATTTTAATGGAACATCACATATTTTTTGAAAAATAAAAAATTTATTAGTTTTGTTTTGCTCATAGAGCTTCATTATGAATAGTGAATAATACCATTTTAAGGTACTATTTCGCTGACGCGGTCCACGACCGCGACTGCTCGCGGTTGACCACTGCTTTAGTGGAATAGAAAGGAACCTATTTCGCTGGCGCTGCTCGGCAGTCTAGGTATGACGTCATATCTAAGCTGCTCGATCTGACTCCTCTTGAAGCAGTGGAGCTGTTGGCGGTTCGGCGGTTGTAGGTTATATTATCATATCAGAGTATTTTTTTGATGATAACAGTCACGTCGATACGTTTTATTTCCTATGTTTCTTTCAAGTCTGGCAAAATTATAACAAATATTGTTTAAAACTGAAACAATGCAATAGTAAATTATTTTTTTAAGGTTGAAGTAACAAGATTATTTATTTATTTATTCCACCAGCAATATTTTACAACGAAATACAAATATACCTAAATCCAAACGATATTAAATGAATTAAAGAATCCAACAAATTTTATCGTCAGGTAAATACTAAAATCCACCCATTGAAAAATCGATTTGTATTTTTTAATTAAAGTGGTGATTTACTGATTACTATTGATAAAACTATAAAACATCGCCTGCTGGGATTTAATTACAAATATATGATATTTATTACTAATCAATTATGTATTAATTATTATTACTTTTCAAACTAATAATATCTAGTATCAGAGGGACTTTGATGATGAGCATCACATCGAAATACTGATATTCCTTCTCTTTATGAACAACATTTTCTCTTCTTTTTCCAACTCAAATAAAAAAGCGGTAGTCAGAGATGTTCATTATTATAGGATGTTCATTTTTATTATTATATTATGTCCATCTTTTTATCTTCGAAGATACAGCGAAATGTTCGAAGGTTATAGGCAGGTTATAACAACCGCAGTGAGCAGTTTCAGCGAAATAGGTACGCCAACAGCGGTTGGCAGCGTGGAATAACGGTCGCTGTCGTGGACCGCGCCAGCGAAATAGTACCTTTAGTTACCTCATAGTATTAATGTGTTAAAAGAAGAAAGAGAAATACTTTATTTAAAGCAGTACTGCCCTACTATATAGGGTTGCTCGATACACAGCATACTATACTAATCAATCCTTTTTTTTTAACATAGCACTTAATTATCCTTAATCATATATGTATATATATATATATATACAAATTCTTTTTCATATCACACAGCATAAACAATATCAGTACTATAATATACTAATACACAAAATTATACAATATATACATATTTAAGTAAAACCGATAAGACAATTTCTGAAATTTATAGTGGAAAAAAAAAAGATGGTATTCGAATGCCAAAGTTTTAAAACCAGAAAATTAGAATGCACACACAGTAAGTAACATAGTCCTATGGACATAGACAAAAAGATATGGTTAGTTAAATCATTTAAAATTGAATAAATAAATAAGTTTTGTATTTATTTATTAAATAAATTAAAAGTAATTTTAGGGTATTTTCATGAATTAAATTTCTTCCGTTTATTATAAATAATTTTACAAACTAGATTTTCAGTTCAATTTTCACAATTCATCTTTTGTTTTAAATAATGTTTTTCGTTTTTGTATTTGAATATACAAATAAATTGTCTTATTTGAAATAATACTGTATGAAAATGAAACAACAAAGAATGATATTACATATAATTTTCATTAATATATTTAATTAAGTACAATATAAATTAAAACAAAATGTTCTAGAGGTGATGGGAGAAAGAAGACTCAGATGGTAGGGCCACATGGGATGAATGAATGATAATAGGATACCAAAGCTAATAGTAGATTGAGAGACTGTGGGTCGAAGGAGAGGAAGATCCGCAGTTAGATGGAAAGACAGAATAGTGGAGAGTATGGCTGGTAGGAGACTGTCGGAGGGTGGGAGATCTGCCAGAGTTTGTCTGAGGAAACTTCACATTATAGAAATTTCTAAGAAAAAAAATATAAAATGATAATCTATTAATATTTTGGTGGGAGCAACTATTGCGGCAAATGGGCCATTTGCTCCTTTTCACCAACCTTTGATGGCTATCTTAAGGTTGCCGCCATGTACTTACCAGAGTGAGAATGCCAAGATTCATTTCCTGGGGCTGCTAAAAAATGAAAATTAACTCAAATGAGAATCGAACCCACTATGTTCAGAACTGAGCACTTGGCTATCACGTCCTCTATTTATGGATATAAGTCGACTAATGAGTGTAATTGTTATTCAATAATTACAGGAAATGCTACTTTGAGAAAATATTTGTAGATGAAAAAAACATTAATATTATTATAGTAAATTATTTTTAATAAATGCAAGAAATTTACTTCACAAAAATATCCCAACATTTTTTATGGAAATTTGCCTTATGGAAATTTGATAATGAAACACTTTAAAAAGTAAAAGTCTCCTTGAACAAGATCTCCAGATATTCATTGCTTTATAAAACATATATATTTATTTTTTTAAAAAATTAATATAATTGAATTTTCATAGGTTGCAAATTGTATGGTAACTAACTGGGCAGGACCTCCCGCTATGTTGGCAATATTTCGAAAACTTTTCGGCTCTTTTTCCTGCCCGCACATAATCAAACAAAATAACTTCACTAATTTGCAGCATTATTTTCTTCAGAAAGTAAGTAATCCTAAATTCTATTATTTTTAACTCTTCTTACACATTTTAATTTTTTTAAGCATGTTTAAGACCAGAGTGTACTTAGTTTTATGTTTATAGTCCCTTTGGTATTGAGTATGTAGATATGCTTGCTTAATTGCTCGTTTTAATACAATACTGTTTCAAGGCCAATGGTTGTGCAAGGAGGTTATTTCAGCAGGATTATGCATAACCACAGTGTTACCTAATTCTTATAAGTTTGCGTATAGACTGAGTTAATGATTTGATTATGTATCGGTTTTAAATATAGTAAGCAATGCTATATCAACTTTATAATTAAAGTAAGTTAGTCGACTGTTCTATTTATCATGGGTGATATATAGTAAGGACGCAGTCAGTTTTTAAGATTTTTACTGTCAGCGTTTCAGCCCAAGCTTGTTACCAGGGCATTACCATCAGGGCATGTTACCAGCGCTGAAGGTGTTCAAGTACTTGCTTGAGCGTGTATTCACTTGATGTATTCAACTCAAGTACTCACTTAGGCGTTCAAGTACTAAGTAAGTACTTGAACTCCTTCAGTACTGGTAACATGCTCTGATGAAGACCCACAAGCTTTTTTCAGTATCAAATTATCTTAGTTTAAAATTATTTCATTTATATTGATTGGAATTTTATATTAAAATACGTATATATCATTCTAATATACAATTTTTTTGCTTTCTATTTATTTAGACTATTCCAGTGGCAATGGCTGGCTTAAGAAATGCTCATGGTATTTGTCCACCTGAAGTTATTAGGTTTCTTCTCGACTTATTCAAGTATAATGATAATAGTAAAAACAAATTTTCTGATAATTATTACAGAGCAGCATTGCTTGAAGCTCTTGGCGAGACTATAACACCAGTTATATCTGTCGTACATCACGGGTGAGAACATAAATATAATTTTTCTTATTAAATTTTAATAGGTTAACGTAGTTACAATAACTTTTGATTTAATTACTCTAAAGAATTTTTAAAATATTATCACCAGTGCATATTTGGAAATAATTAGCTTTTTAAAAATTTAGAGAGATTTGTTGGTAAATTCAGATTTCCATGTAATTGATTTATTTTACAACATATTTGTTTAGATATTTTAAAATTTATAATCATAGAAATATTTTTTTTAATTTTGTCAGTTTATTGGAAAAAGTCATTAAGTAACATTTAATAAAATTAAATCACTATGTAACTTGAGAAATTTTCCTCTGTGAAATCAGATCATTGAGCACTTAAAATAATTATTTTTGACATTCAATGGAAGTGATGTTATTTGGATGCACTTGATAAGTTTTTGCATCAATGAATGCGGTAGAGATTTACTAACAGGTACTTCAAAGTTTAGCTTCTTATTATCTTATGAATCTGCTTCCACTAACCCTGGTAAAAGATAGTGTGAATCGCTATCTTTTGTAGTCAAGTATTTGTTTCAAACATCTTTAACAATCATTAAGTGGACTGATTCATTGACGATCTGTCTCCACAATCTCATTCATACTGACTAACTAGAATTAATCTCTCTGAAGGATTGGAGAATAACTATATTTACATTTTAATGCACTTATAAATTTGCTAAATTTTAAATTAAAAATGGATTTCCAGAACTGAAATAACTGCTGAATCTCTATCGACGGATACTAAATTAGTCTTGGAAGAAATAACAAGGAGCCTAAATATGGAAAAGTTGCTGCCATGTTATAAATTAACAGTTACGGTTGCTTGTCTGAAATCTATTCGGAAGTTGCAGAAGTTTGGTCATTTACCGAGCACACCACATTTGTTTAAAACATATGCTGCTTATGGTCAATTTATAGGTAAGATATACCTGTGTTCAATGGAATATTATATTTATTTTACTAATTTATTATTCTGTTTTCTTAAAATAATTACTCAAAGTAAATATATTGTAACATTTCCTGTATTTATTTTTACTTTCACTTATCTATGTATGTGAAAGTATAATATAGCTTTCGTGATAATTTTTTAATCTCCCCTGTCCAAATAACCAAGTCCCGCAAAATGGTCTGTGTGTGTGTGTGTGTGTTTTATGTTAACAGTCTAGCTCAAAAGTTTTATATGCTAGGGATGTTACAGCAACTTTTTTTGTCAAAATCGGCTAACCGGAAGTGGCACTTTATATAATCGACTAAACACATTTTTACGATTTTCTCAAAAAGGGCTCCAACAATTTTGATTAAATTCCTCATATCAGAGTAAAATTAAGCAGTTTCAAATAAAATGTAGTTTTTATTCTAATTGATGTTTTCTAACAGGGCTTAAATGGCTAATTTTCAGTATTAGCTTTCCCTAAAGTACCTTTAATTTTTTTATTTGAAACAATTGACCATTTCACATTAATCTCTAATATAAAACATAGTTTAGTTAAATATAAAATAATTTGATAATTAACTAAAGAAGAAATAAGAGATTGTAACGGAGAATAGTTATAATTGAGGAACCAAAGGAATAGAAGTCCACCTGAGCACGCGCTTCCATACGTAACATGAGTTTAATATAATAAGAATTTTGACAATATTATATAAGTAAACATATGCGAGTTTCATAAATGTTATTTTTGGTATTATTTAATATTTAATTGTATAGATTACTTTGATATTAATATTAAAATTTGTATGTATAAGGGTACTTATAAAAATAAAAATACCCACAATGAAATAAAAATATATGGAGCATTTGTAATTTTTACTTTCACTTCCTCTTTGTCGAAAAATACTTATTTCTGCTAAGAAGAGGGTGGTAATTGAAAGTTGTGTGATGTGCTCACCGTATCAGATTTTTTTATTTTAATGTATATTTTTAGAGGAAGGGGAAGCTTAGTGAGTAAGTCATTGTGTTTCTATTCTCCTGGTCTTGAGTTCAAGTCCAGCTGTGGCAGGTAATTATTTTCGTGAGAACCTACTGAAGCACACTCATTATCTAAAAAATGGGTAATATTAATTAATTAAGGAGGATAACCGGGTTGTTGAATGTTATCTTGTCAAAACCACCTCCTTAACCACTAGCCATGGCGTTTAACAGACCTTGTTTACTTAGCATTGAACCCGAGACCCTTCTTGGATTGTAGTAGTAAATGCTTTTTTCTTTTAAGAATAATTTTATAATACTTCATATATAGCTAAAATCTCATCAGCCTACATTGATGTGTTACGTTGCTTACAGGATCTTAGCTTCCTCTAGTCAGACCTGTTCTCTGCTTGGAAGATTGTTCCTTATTCCTTGTCCATCTTCCAATAGTTTATCAAACAGTCAACAAAGTTTAAGTCATCATTCTAAGGTACTATTTCGCTGGTACTGCCCACGGCAGCGACCGCTTGCGGTTGAGCGTTGCTTTATTGGAATAAAAAGGAATTTATTTCGTTGACACTGCTTGGCAGTCTAGGTATGACATCATATCTAGGCTCCTATGTGCTCTATATCTGACTGCTCCTGAAGCAGTGAAGCTGTTGGCGGTTCGGCGGTTGTAGATTATGTTATCATATTGGAGAATTGTTTTGATGATAACAGTCCTTTATGTGTATAAACCTTGATACATTTTATATTCTAAGTTTCTTTCAACTCTGGAAAAATTATAAGAAATATTGTTTAAAACTTGAACATTGCAATAGTAAATTATTTGTTCAAGGTTGAAGTAACAAGATTATTTATTTATTTATTCCACCAACAGTTTTTTACTTCGAAATTCATAATTACCTAAATCCAAATAACATTATATAAATTAAATAATCCAATACATTTTAATGTTAGGTAAATAGTAAATCCAGACATAGAAAAATCGATTTGTATTTTTTAATTGAAATGCTGATTTACTGATTACTATCGATAAAACGATAAAACATTGCCTCCTGTGATTTCATTAGAAATATATGATATTTATTACTAATCAATTATGTAATAATTGAGGCATTGACAGTGAAAAGTTTGCAAGTGCCAAAAATGCGAACAATTTTTTTCTCTCCTTAAAATGAAACTATGTTCCGTTGCCAGTGACACTGAAAAGAGAGAAACTGCCAGTTGACCTTAGTTTAGTTCTCCTTTGACGGCAAAAATAGCGCTGGTTTTAACTTGAGGGGATTTTGTAATGATGTGGTGATGATTTTGGTGTCCCCTGTAAAACTTGAATTTTGGCACTTACTACCTTTTGATTGTCAACGCCTTAATTATTATATCATTTTCTATCATACTCAAAACAAAATTGAACTGACATTTATTCAATCCAAATGCCCTTGGTGATGCTTGAATTGCAGGAATGTTGGCCAGTTAACTGTATATTAGTAATTCATGGCTTTTTAGTTTGGATTGTTCTATTCCTAATGTATCTTTTCAAGCTTTTCGCTTATTTTAATTAGGTATAATAATATAAGCTTAATTTTCAGATGTGCGATTATGTGCGCTTGAAGCATTGGTGGATTATACAGTTGTCGATGGACAGTGGTCAGATTTGGAATATTTATTGGACACAGCAGAAGAGGACCCGGATCCAGGAGTACGATTCGCACTAATTCGTATGCTTTCGGAAAATCCTCCATTCCAACGTCAAGCTATCAAGCACCAACTCGACAAAGAGGAACTTGTTCATAGGCTGTGGAAGCTGTTCAAGTAAGTTTTTATGTTTTTTTTTTGTTAACATTTAAATTTATGGTTATGTTGTTTAATTTCATAAAATACATCAAATTACAACTATAGTAAAATTTTGCCATGTTTTGATATATATCACTCAATAAAAATATTTTGATATTTAACATGGTTGTATCTTCTGCTTTGGAGCTCAGATTGTATTATATGGGAGTCTTTCTTGGCATAGAACAGGTTTTTGATTGAGTTTAGCACTCAGACCTGTTTTACATTATCTGTCAAATCCTATTCCCTACGTACTTTCTCTTTCTTGTCTGTTCCTATCTCACAGATAGATCATTCAAAGGAACTCCAATGGTGCCTATTCATCTTATTCTTATTCTTATTATCACATATTCTTGAGGATGGGATGTGAGCAAGAAATGTCATGATGATATGAGAGAGGTGCAGTCCTACAAGATGTTGTAGGACTTATAATTCTTATTCAGTATTTAAATAGATAGACAGAAAAAAAACTTTATTCTGGGACTAAGTCTCTTTAGAATAACAAAATCGTACAAAAGAATAGAATACTACTGGCCTAAAAGTTTGAAACAATGAATAAAATTGATAAAATAAACTAAAAAGTAAAGAAAACCTTAGTTGAACAAGCTATATACAATACAGATAAAACTATGTACAAAACATTTAAAACTATGAACAAAATCACTTAAAACTATGAACAAAATTATATATAAGGGTAGAACAACATAAACATACACTTTGAGAATTGAAGAACGAAAAAGAGATAGAATAAGTTCATTTAATAAAAAAACTTTACTTATATATATATATATATATATATATATATATATATATAAAAGTTAGTTATAATTGAATAAAAACAAAAATGTAAAAAAAAAAAAAAATAGATTTATTGAAATTCCTATGTCGAAAGTAGGAAATGCATGTACTATCTCTTGCAAAGTATTATCGTATGATTATATGATTGCTACACAATACATAGTGTTAACAGTTAGCTGGTATCTGACTTTTTGGAACAGGAATTGGAATAGGAGGTTTTTGAATGTGGATAGGTAGGGAGCATACCGAATTTTGATCGGGAGGGAATTCCAAAAGTTGACAGAGCGGGCTATAAAGGAATTTTGGAATGAGGCAGATCTATGAGAAGGGATGTATAGGTCAGAGGGTCGAGATCTTGTGGTACGGGATTGTGGACTTAAGTTTGAGAAGGTTGTAGGCATAAGAAGGATGATGATCGTTAATGATTTGATAAAGGAATGTACCTAGGAAATATTGTCTTCTTAAGGAGGGGAAGAGCCACTTTAACTCAATGTAGTGGTGGGAGACACGGGAGCGTCTCAGGGTCCCAATTACAAATCTTACAAAGCTATTCATAAGTCTTTATGTATAAGTATTTATGTTTTTTAGATTAAATTAGAAGTGTTTGTCAGAAGTGAATATGTTCTCTTTTATTTAGCTTTCTTACAGGCCTCAATATCTTTCGTTTAAACCACTGAAGGTTGACAAAACCACCTGAGTCCAGTTCATTCTAAGTGTATTCATTCATTCTAAAATTTAATATGTACTTATTATCCTTTCCACAAAATGCCACTAAAGAATTAGTTCTCCAAAGTTCCAAGAGCAGTAGATACACTCAAAGAGTTTATCGGGGTTTAGTTTTAAAATTAACATTACCTAACGGCTGTAAATAACCAAGAATCTTTTGCCTTGTGATTTTTCAGATACCTCGTTTCAGAGGTATAGAGGATTCCGCTTTCTACCAGTATTGATTATTTTATTTTTTTTCCAGTTGCATGCTTTCGCATGATACCAGAATGAGGTGCAGCTTTGTCGATCTGTATTATACACTTTATGGCAAGAAAAGACCGTTATGTCTCCCATCTTCAGAAAGTTCCTTTACTCAAAGAATTAAAACCAGCCCACCGTTTGAGGTAATAAATATATAATAGAAAATTTAAATTTTTTATATAAATGGAAAAATCCAAACAACAAAGAGTTGCCACGGCTGAGTGAATAGGCAAGTTAACTATTTACTTGTACCTAGTCCTGCCGTAAATACTGTTACAAAAGTTGAACTTTGTTTACATCCTTCGGTATTAGTTAGATAATCCTTATCTCTATCAGGTTATTTTCTTTACGTGTCAGGATAATAATCCCAACTAGTTTGTATTTTTCTTTTGCTCAGTTAACATGGAGCGGGCTGATAAAGAAAACCGAATAGCTGTGATCGCCTTACACAAAGTTGGAAAATGTAAGTCAGAGATTTTCAACGCTTTGAAATCTTTGGGTATCAGCTGTATGTTAGTGAACCGCACTATAAATAGATATAATGAGATCCTATCTGTATGTGACAGACCTCGACTGGGCTGTTGCCGCATTGTGAGAAAGACGAATGCAGTGAGAGCAGTGGCTGCTCGATTCAAAAGAAATCCCATTCAAAAACTACAAATCATGTCTGGGGAAATGAGAATCTCTGTCAGATTAATGTATCGCATAATAAAAAGTGACCTTAGGATGAGTGCATTTCGAAGAATGACAACACAAAGGCTAACCACTTCCCTAAAAAAATTTAGAGTAAATGGATGCAAAGTGCTCCTTGGCCATTACACCAATGGTCTTCATCGAAAGATTTTTAGATTGTTTAGCGATGAGAAAATTTTTACAATTGAAGAAAAATTTAATCGCCAAAATGATCATTGTACGCACACCGCTCTAAAGAGGCCTAGTAAGTCATTGGAAGAGTGGAAAGAGGTCGTCATCCTTCCTCAGTGATGGTTTGGTGAGGAGTTTGCTTTGATGGCACCACAAAGCTCCATTTCTGTGAAAAAGGAGTTAAAACAGCTGCTAAAAACTATCAGGATGATATTTCGGAACCCGTTGTCAAGCCTCTAAATGATACTCTGTTTGCTGGAAGTCAATGGGTTTTCCAGCAGGATTCCGCTCCAGCCCAGAAAGCCAGGTCAACTCAGCAATGGCTGCTAAAGAATATTCCTGAGTTCATCTCAATCGGCTTTGTCCTGAACTGAAGAGAATAGCATGCCAAAGAGCACACCCTAACCCCAAAAGCCTCAAACAATCTCTGGCCCGAGCAGTTGAGCGCTTTACTCAAGAAGTGCTGCGTGCTGCTGTTGATGAATGGCCACGGAGATTAAATGCCTGTGTCAATTCAAAAAGGGGACCGTTTTGAGTAATTTCTTTTTTGTTTTACTCTCTATAGATATAAATTTTATTTTCTAATAAAATTTTTGAAAAAATAAATTTTTCTATTGAAATCTGTATATATTTTCTTGTAACAATATTTATGACAGGACTGGGTATGTTGGAGACTCATGTATTTGTTGTTATGATTATTCCATTTATGAGGTAATCAATCACCTTATGTCTTGTTTACTTATAATCTAAAAATGGTTATTCTATTGTTATAATTTTAAAAAATTATAACAATAGATTAAACAATTGGGTTCTTACATCAATTTTCAATATTTATTTCAGCAGTGAAGATAAGGTGATCATAATAAAAATCTGGTGCGCACATCACACAACTTTCACTTACCCTTTTACTTTGAATAGAAATTATTTTCTGGCAATGTTGGGCAATCACAAAATTTGCTTTTTTAATGGAGCTGAAGCTTAAAGCTTACAGCGAACAATCCATTAAGTCGATTAAAATAACAAACACCCTGTTTATTATATCGACGGTAGGCAATAAAAACCTCGTAACTCCATCTGTTTTTGTTAACCACGTTACTCCAGTCTCTGAGCTATGCCTAGAAACTAATCTGTATATTTAACCTACAAATGATTATTGATTGTATGACTATTAGTTATTAAACTCTTATTTTCCCATTGTGAAGTTTACTAAAATGGAGTTACAATATTTTCATTGTCTGCTATAGATAGGTCAAAAGTTGTCACACTAATTCGTAAGTGGATAATAATATATCTTAATGAAACATCCGTCAATATTTTAAAAAATTGTAAATTTATAGAAAAGTTTTGTTGCACTATTAGCTGACACTGTTTGATTTGGAATGTTCTTATAGATGACAGGGATGAGAATAAGGATTTAGTTTTGCAAAGTAAATTTTATATTCATCATTTCGTTTTTCGATTTCAATTTATTGATAAATGCTGAATTTCACTGTAAAGAACCTGTTTTTGCGATATATAAAGGAAAAACTATATTTGCTTTACATAGCTTTTTTTTTTAATGGGAGAATAGTGAATGGTATAATTTTTAAGGCCCTTTATATTAAGTATATATCTTTGAATTTAGGAGAGTACAGGCCTGTCAACTACTGGTAAAAGTCCCCATTACAAGGCTCCAGTAGCTGACACCCTTTAAATTTCCAATTCCATCATCAAGATAAATTAAAAAAAGACAAAAAATAATCTAAAAACACTTGAAGAAAATATAAAACAAAAATTTTGGGATAAATCAAAGTAGTTAAGGTTTCTAGTTACAATTTTTGGTTTCTATATTTTCTCCTTGTATATTTGCCTGCTTTGCTTTAGTCATGGTGAAAACCGTAACTGAAATAATGAGTGGCGAATTAGGAAGATCCCTCACAGTTCACTTAGTGTCCCAGGAACAACTATCGATCCATTATTTCAGTTACGGTTTTCAGCATGGCTAAAGCAAATCAGACAAATATATTTTTTTATTTTTTATTTGCTGTTATTTAACGTCGCATCAACTGCCAAGGTCATTAGCAACGATCGTTCTTAAATATAAGTTATCAATTTTATTTTTCGGATGTACTTCAGCGTTTTTTCAATACCAGTGTTTTCCTTGTACGGTGCCTTGTCTTCAATTTGGAGTTTGATTTGCTGTTTCCGGAACTTTTTGCACTGGAATATGTGTTTAACGGTCAGATTAGCATTTTCACATACCTCACATGTTGGTCGATGTAAGCCAAGAAGTAGGTGGAGATGGGTCAGTTTGGTATGTCCTATTCTGAGCCTGCTTATTATAGAACACTCTTTTGATGTCAGGTGTTTTGGAGGATACCAAGCTCGATTTTCGTCTTTGTTCAGATGAAGGTGATTGCGCGGCAGCAATCTCCACTGTACATTCCAACTGTCGTTCACTTTCTTTGAAATTTCTCTTCTCTATTCATTGAGAAACATCGCTCCTAAAACAGGCGAATCCGTGCTTTTGGCGGCTTCCTTTGCTCCCTGATCGGCTCGTTCATTGCCAATTATGCCAATGTATGAGGGTACCCAAAACAATATTATTTTTTGACTATTTTTATTTAGTTTCAAGTTCATTAGCTGAATTTGTTTGTGCAATGTGTTACATGTCCATACATTTTGCAGTCCCTTGATTACAGATAAGGAATCGGTCACAATTACTGGTTTCTCAATATTGGTGTCGATTACATATTCAAATGCCTTGAGAATCGCCCACATTTCACTTGTAAAAATTGAATTATTGGTATTTAATTTCCATTTTTTTATATTGTTTTGGATTACTATACTGCATCCTACACCTTTCTCTGATTTAGAATTATATTTTATTTATATATTTATTAGGTATACATATTCCTGGCTCACAATAAATTTGCCATCTACCCCGTTATTCAGCAAATATGATATCAAGGAGAAGAAATGATAGCATAAAGAAAAAAGAATAGTAATAACAGAACAAAAGGACAAAAAAAAAAATAATAAAAAAAATAACAGTAGTAAACAAAACATAACACACATACACAAAAAAAAAAAAGATAATGCAGCAAGTAGCTCAATTCAATAAGTCTCTTGGCCAGCGCCTTAGCAGTCTTCTGGGCGGATTATATGGATTTGTGGCAGTAGATAGAGCTTGAGTAAGTGGATTGGAATTTAGAGTCAGTCTGTCATGAAAATTATTAAAGCGGCATTATTAAAAGTGGCAGTTGCCGTGATGAAAGGAATGTTAAGGTCAGTGTCTAACGTAAGGTTTGAAACATAAAAGGGTGCGTCTACAATTTTCCGAAGGACTTTTGACTGGAATGACTGGATGATTTTTATATTTGATTTCTTTGCTGTTCCCCATAGTTCAATCCCATATGTCCAAAGTGGTTTAATGAGTACTTTGTAAATAGTTAGTTTATTATTCACAGATAATTTAGAACGTCTGTCAAGTAGCCTAGAAAGAAGTCCGTATCGCTGATTAAGTTCCTTTCTTTTTTGTTTTGTGTGGTATGTCCATATCAGTCATTTGTCCAAGTGGAGACCCAAATATCGAACAGTTTTTGAAGGTGGTAGAGCGATATTATTAAAGAACACACAAATATACAAGGAGAAAATATAGAAACCAAAACTTGTAACTAGAAACCTTAACTACTTTGATTTATCAAACAATTTTTTCTTCAAGTGTTTTTAGATTATGTTTTGTCTTTTTTTAACTTATCTTGATAATGGAATCGGGCATTTAAAGGGTGTCAGCTACTAGAACCTTTTAATTAGATCTTTCACCAGTAACTGACAGGCCTGTACTCTCTTAAATTCAAAGAGATATACTTAATATAAAGGGCCATAGAAATGAAACCATTCACTACTCTCACATTAAAAAAAAAAAATAGAAAAGAAAAAAAAACGCTATATAAAGCAAATACAGGTTTTCCTATCGCAAAAACAGGTTTTTTACAGTGAAATTCAGCATCTATCAATAAATTGAAGTTGAAAAACGAAATGAAGAATATAAAAATTATTTTGCATAATTACATTCTTATTCTCATCGCTGTCATCTATCAGTGCCAGCTACTGATAAAATAAAACAATTCTCTTAATTTTCAATTTTTTAAAAATATTTATGGATGTCTCATGGATTTGAAATGTGTCTGGGTAAGGTGAGAAGTAGTTCAATAATATGAATAAAGAAAAATGCAATAATATTTGTATTTAAGTTTTTATACGTAAAAGTTCAAAGAAATTTCCTTAATCATGTCAGATAATTGTGCGTTTACCCTATGTAGAGGATCTACCTTTTATAATATATTCATAACATTTTCTATTTAAAAAAAAAATTATTTTTACTTATCAAGAAATTAAGAAATGTACTGTATGTATATATTACTGGAATTCTTTGCCACATAACATCCGTCATGCCTCTTCCCTGTCAATTTTCAAATACCTCCTTTTCCAATATCTCCTTACATCCCAAACAGAAGATTTACAACCATAAATTTCATTTTATGAACTGAATTTGCGTGAAGTAAATGGTGGTGCCTACTGTTTACGTTTTAACATAAAACAGCAATGATCTTTGTCACCTAGTTTGACTATTATTTTTACTATTTATTTGTTTTTCTCTCCTCAGGTTGTGCTTTTTCTTTTGGGTATATATGTTTATATTTTATACTTTTTGTCTCTCTGTGTGCCAATAAGAGTATGTACGCATAAATAGTTGCTTTTTTTTTTTTTTTTTTTTTCTTCATTACACCACAAGTAATCCTAAGATTTTATTTTATCTTATTGTTTGCATATTATTATATACATCACTGTAGATATTATTACATCTTGTATTAAGTTAGTTTTCTATTAGATAGCCTATTGTTTATAAATTGTGTAGTTATGTATATATAAATATGTAATTTATATTCTTTTTTTTTCATCACAATAATAAGTAATTTTGAGAAGATTTTATGTTATGTATAAGTTAGTTTTTGGCCAGATTTGTATTTTACTTTGTATTAATTCATCATTGTTATTCTAAGGGGACTTAGTCCCAGAATAAAGTTCAATTTTCTATTCTATTCTATTCTATATTGATTATGGTGTTTAATATATATATATTTTTTTCTTTTAGGCAAAAGATTATTCTTCTATAATCAGTAGCATGGGTAGTTTTAAACGTAAAACATCGCCTACGATTAAAGAGGAAGTGGTCACAGATGATCTGGGAGTCGTTACCGTGGAAGTTGTTGCTAAAGAAGAAAATAAAAAAATGAAGGTATTTTATTTATTATTTTTAAAATTATTATTCGTAACTAACTAGTGTCTAGTGTATCTATAAAATAATTTTAGTTGTCATGTAAATCAATGAATGCTTAAAATATTTTTCAATGTAAAATAGGCCATAGTTTTAATTTTGCTCTTTATACTTTGTTCATTATAATGATTGTCATGACGACTTAGTTTCTAAGTAAAGATTTTTTAAATTTAATTAATAATTTGATTCATTATAGTAAAATTTGAAACAGTCCAAGAGTGAATTGAATATCTTGTATCTACTTTTAATTAGTTATAAGATCGATGCTAGTTTGTTGACTGTTCTCCATATCACTCATATCATTATATATTGTTAGAAGTGAAATTAAAAGAGGAGTTGTTTAATTTTCATTGGATTTCTTTAAAATTTGATTATCAAAAATTTCTTATTAGATCTTCAGTACTGTAGATTACATTATTTAAATTGTTATAATTTATATTAATAATGATTATTACTAAATATCAATTTATAAAGATTTAGCCAAGAACCTAAAATGTTTTCTTTTTACATCAGCACCAAAGAACAAATTCAATAAAATGATCTCCTCCTATTTATAATATTTTATTCGTTCTTTGGTACCGATTTTGTTCTTCCGATTTTAGGAGAGAATAAAATATTATATACAGGAGGACAACATCTTTGTATTAAATTTGGATTTCACTTTTACAACTCTTGAGCCTCAATTTAAGAAAGAGAACAAATTATATCCATTGACAGTTAATTATGAACTAGTATGAATATATGAGAAGGAGTTAGTTGAGGGTGCGGTCAAATAAATAAAAAAATTAAAATATATAAATAATTTTAATTTTTGCCGACGTTTCGACCCACTTTGCAGGTCGTCTTCAGGGCGTTGGATGTGGCACTGCGGGAGGCAGTTGAAACACTGCTTTTTTACAGTGTTTCAACTGCCTCCCGCAGTGCCACATCCAACGCCCTGAAGACGACCTGCAAAGTGGGTCGAAACGTCGGCAAAAATTAAAATTATTTATATATTTTAATTTTTTTATTTATTTGACCGCACCCTCAACTAACTCCTTCTCATAGTATGAATATATATTATAATGTAATTATCATTATCATTGAACATGTTTATAATTCTTAGGAGACTAGACTAAAAGTAAGTTAATTTTTATAATTAATAGTTAATATGTATAATGTACATATATATATATATATATATATTATATATATTATATATATATATATATATATATATATATGTATAATGTACATATATATATATATATATATATATATATACACACACATGAATCCTACCATTCATGCAATTAAATATACTAATTAAAATTTTAGATGGATAAAGGAGGACATTTAAAGTCAGAATATTTTTCCGACAATTCTGCTTCCTTGCCTGGCATCGGGGGTTCTGTTGGACCTACTGGCTTTGAACCTGGAATGTTTAAAAAGGAGGAATCTGTCAAATCTGAAGGTTCAACAAAAGTAAGTAATTAAAAAATATTTTTGATTTTTATTAAAATTAATTCTTAACTAATGTCCAAGTAACAGATTGTCGTGATACTCAATAAATAAGTAAATAAAAAAAAAAAAAGTAATTCTTTAAAATTTATTTTTGTAATTTACAAACAATTGCATTAGCGAATAAGTCCTTAAGGTTTTTCTGTTCATTTTTGTTTCTTCTTATCTGATGAATTAATCCCTAAGGTGAATTGTTTATCCTATATTTAAGATGTCAACAACCATTTCTGTGAACTCTTGTTAAAATTAGATTAGTATTGTGTTTGCCATTGTACTATGAATATGGAAGAAAATAAAATATTTTATATTATTTTAAAAAAAGGTACTGTGCTGCAGAATAAAATAATTTGTAGTATTTTTGAGGATGATGCCTTAGTTGAACGCATGTGTCAAAATTGATTTACCAAATTTTGTTCAGAGAATTTTGAAATCAATGACACTCTACCAACCAGACCGCCCACAGACCATTGAAACAAGCAATGCTCAGACCATTGTTGATCCAAACCTCGCCCAATCAGTGCAAGAGATTGACATTACGATGGATATTTCACACAAAAGCAGAGAAAACCATTTATACAAGCTCAGCTACATTTTTTAAAATAATGATGTTTGGATCTTCCACTCTGTAACCTTAATAACTTGGGAACACACATTTTCTGGGACCTTTTACTCCACACATCTTATTCATAGATTTTTAGCTCCAAGTGAGTCTTATGCCAGACCACTTATTCGGATCTTTGCAGGACTCCATGAATCAAAAATTATTCCAAGATGAACATGACATCAAAAACCACTTAGATAAGTTTTTTGACGATCAATCTCAGTCATTCTTTAAACATGGTTAGTTAAAAGATGAGAACAGGTCGTACGAAATGATGATCTATACATTCCAGATTACAATACATTTTATGCCTATAATACACTAATTTTATATTATCTTAAAAATCTGAAAGGACCTAGTCGCCAAACCACTATAAAATAGTTCAGTTTTTGAACCTATGTCTCCTATTTTTCTGATATTAAATCCATTGATGTTTAGCTATTCCTGTTAATTAATAGGCTCTGTTGATTTTGTTAATTAAGTTTATACATGTAAACTACTTGATTTTCTCTAACAATCTTTTTATGAAATGGTATTATTGATACTGTTTATGTATTATAACTATTTACAATTTTTTTTTTCAGAGTAAAAAGAAAAAGAAAGACAAGAAGAAACATAAACACAAACATAAACATAAGCACGATCATAAACATAGCAAAGATAGGGATAAAGATAAAGAGAAAAGTAAGGATAAGGACAAAGATAAGGATAAAGACAAAGATAAGGATAAAGAAAAGGATAAAGATAAAGAAAAGGATAAAGATAAAGAAAAAGAAAAGGAAAAATCCAAAATTAAAGTTAAAGAGGAAACGCTCAGTTCCGACAGTTCCTCCCCTAGTCCTGGACCATCCACTTTAGACATGTTTCATTATTAAGAGAGCAAAATAAAAAAAAGACTGTACATACAAAAACTATTTGTTTTGTTTAAAAAATTGTTATTTATATTCAATAAATGGATTTTATGATTTTTTTTTCTTAGATTTTATAAAGATGTTTTGTATTTTAAAATATTGAACAAAGGACCTATTTTTGTTAAATAAAAGCATATACTCATAAAGTTGTTTTACTCTTTGTTCATCTTGTTCTGTTTATCAACAGTTGTTTATCTTTTGTGCTGGGATTTATTTTATTTTATTTAAAAAAGATTTGTTGTGATCTATTTTAGTTAAAGTGGACTTTTTTTTTTCTCAGTGGAATAAGATCATTAAAATCTCTAGAAATTTTTTTTTATTATACTTATAATAAAAAAAAAATTTGCTAATATTAAAAGGAGTGGATTAGCTCAGTGGTAGGGCACTGAGCTTCCAATGCATAAGGTCCCAGGTTCGAATCCCGGCTCATGGCAGAAAAAATATTTATTCTGTTTCATTGGCTGTGAGGCGACCTTGGGTCAGGAGACTCTCCTAGGGCACACCCAGCCCCTTTAAAGTAGGTACCCTTAATTAAATAATTGATTAAGGGGGAAAGCCTGGCAGTTGAGCGTGATACTGGCCCGATCCAACCCTGCACAACCGCTGATCTTGAAACAGTGCTTTCCCTAAATAGTACTGAACCCAAGACCCTTCATGGGTTGTAGTGGTACAGGTTCAGGTTTTATACTTAAAAAAATGTTTTTTTTTTAGATGCAGAATAATAGAAAAACAAATATGAATAAATTAGCATTTCAATAGCTTTTATACAGGTATATTTCTTTTTGAATGATTAAAAAATGAAGTGAATTAGTTTTTATATAAATATCTATGTTTACACAATTAATTATTATTTATGCAGTGGCTATTTAACTTAGTAAATTTTGGTAAGTTGATTACTGTTATATCAACTAAAATCATTCATCCTATTGTAACTGGTAGTTTTTGATATTCGTGATTTGAAAGTTTTTTTTTTTTTAATTCTATACTACTTGACTTTTGGCTTCCAGCAAGTCTTCTATATGTCCAGTAAATGACTCATTTTGATGAATTTGTTTTCATATATCTACATAAAAAAAACCTGTACTGCAACAACCCATGAATGGTCTTGGATTCAGTACTATTTAGGGTAAGTACTGTTTCTTAGTCAACGGTTGTGTAAGGAGGTGATTTGACTGAGATCACGCTCAACCACCTGATTTTTTTCCTTAATTAATTATTTAATTTAGAGTACCCTCTTTATAGAGGCTGCGTGTGCCCCAGGAGGGTCTCGTTTTCTCAGGGTTGCCCCACGCCTAATGAAACAATAAGTAATTTGTCTGGCATGAGTCAGGATTCAAACTCCAAGCATTGAAAGATCAGTGCCCTACCACTGAGCTATACCACTTCCCATATATCCATATAAAAATTAAAAAAAAAAAACAGTTCAGAATTATTCCTGATCACAATGCATTAATTTACAAAAACATTATATGAAGTATTGAGGAAACCTGACTTATTTTGTTCATTTAATGAAGAGATTTTTTATAAGTGCTTTTTTAAAAAAAGCAGTGACTTTCTACAGAAAAAAAAGTTGATATAAACATTAAACTGTTGAGATAGGTAAGTATTAATAGTAAGATTTTAAGAAGAAAAACAAACACTTCTTGTTACAAGAAATACTCCAAAGAATTTATACCGATTTGGGTCACCATCTGTTAGATTTATTTAACAACAATGTATGAATCCAATTTGTCAAGCCTTCTATCTTAATAATAAGGATCTAAATACCTTTCTCCTTATTTCATAAAAATATATTGGTGCTGCTGCCTCCCCTCCCAAAAAAAATACAAATAAAAAGGCTTAAAAAACTAGAATAAAATCTAATAATAAAGGATTTTTCTTGTAAAAAAAGAAAAGAGGAATCTAACAATAAAAAGTGAAAATATTTTTTTATGAATGAAATTGTTTATTAAAATTAAGTATATATTGAGAAATTCGTATTTAGAACAATTGAAAATAGATACAGACATTTTTTTATCACAATAATTTTACTTCCTGATGAGAAATAACAATTTTATTCAAGCTAAAAAAGGTAAATATCAGTCAGTGCATATCAACATGCATTTACTTTTCCATTAAAAATTATAAATTTTGACAAAAACTATATAATTAAAAAACTTTGTGTTTAAAGAAATATTTAATTTTAATCTCTTTATTAAAGAGAACAGATACACCTTCCCATTTTAAATCATTACAATGTATTTATAGTCACACACACAAAAAAAAAGATAGTACTTCCTACTATACAAGCAATGTGAAATATTACACCCAAATTTTCAAATATTGGTACCATCTCTTTGTTAGACAATTAATTACTTAATTGGTCATTATAAAAATTTATAAGTATTAGTCTAAAAATATTTTTAAAACTAAGAATGTATTCTAATTATCATTCCTAGTCTTATCACCTTTCATTTAGGCAGGTAATTGTTTTAATGATTGATATTATAAAATAGAAAATCCCATCAGATATATAAAGATTATTCATTATCATTTTTTCAATAAGTTTGTAAAATAAATTAATGAATGTTTTAATTTATATTTAAAAAATAGTTCATAGTAATTCGGAAATTTTCTAATAATATTCATGGCAACACTGAAAAATATTGGGTAGGCGTCGTTAAACAAGGTTATATTTCGGCACGTTGTTGTGGGTTCATAACTAGTGAAAAATGGTGTCTTTAAATCCGATTAGAATACTCAAACATGAAGCAGAACAAGAAAAGGGTGAAATGGCTAGAATGTCCAATTTCATCGGAGCGATTGCCGTTGGTGATTTAGTGAAAAGTACACTCGGTCCGAAAGGTATGGATAAAATTCTGGTATCTTACGGCCGAAACCGTGGGCAGATAGAAGTTACTAACGATGGTGCTACTATTTTAAAATCAGTGGGTTTTGACAATCCCGCTGCTAAAATTCTGGTCAACATGTCTAAAGTTCAAGATGACGAAGTTGGAGATGGCACAACTTCGGTCACTGTTTTGGCCGCCGAACTTCTCCGAGAAGCCGAAAAATTGATCGAAAGGAAAATCCATCCTCAGACAATAATAAGCGGATATCGCCGCGCGACAAATGTAGCTCTTGCTGCATTAGATAAATGTGCTGTTGACAATAGCAGCAATGATAAGGAGTTTGCCGAAGATTTGCTCAAAATTGCCCGTACATCATTGAGTTCCAAAATTTTGAATTTACATAATGAAAAATTCAGTAAATTGGCAGTTGAAGCTGTTCTCCGCCTTAAAGGATCAGGTAATTTAAGTGCGATTCAGATCATCAAAAAAACAGGTGGCTCCTTGGATGATTCATTTTTAGATGATGGCTTCCTTCTGGACAAGAAAGTTGGTCAATTCCAGCCTAAAAGAGTTGAAAATGCCAGAATTCTTATTGCAAATACTCCTCTTGACACCGATAAAATTAAAGTTTTCGGTTCGAGAATACGTGTTGACTCTGTAGCTAAAGTGGCAGATTTGGAATTAGCTGAAAAAGAAAAGATGAAGGAAAAAATTGACAGAATTATAAGTCATAAATGCAACGTATTTGTTAACCGTCAGCTGATTTATAATTATCCTGAACAGCTATTTGCTGATGCTGGAATTATGGCAATTGAGCATGCAGATTTTGATGGTATTGAACGCCTAGCGCTTGTCACTGGGGGTGAAATTGTCTCTACATTTGATACACCTGAGCTTGTTAAATTAGGTGAATGTGATTTAATTGAGGAAATAATGATTGGTGAAGACAATTTGTTGAGGTTCAGTGGAGTCAAGTTGGGAGAGGCCTGCAGTATTGTCATAAGAGGCGCAACACAGCAAATTGTTGATGAAGCCGAACGGTCTCTTCATGATGCATTGTGTGTACTTGTGACCACTGTCAGGGATAAGAAAACTGTTTTTGGTGGTGGATGTTCAGAAATAATTATGGCGAGTGCTGTAAGCGATGAAGCCATCAATGTTACTGGCAAAGAAGCAGTTGCTATGGAATCCTTTGCTAAAGCTTTGCTCGAGTTGCCTATGACCATCTCTGATAATGGTGGCTTTGATTCTGCCTATTTAGTTACAGCTCTAAGGGCTGCTCATAATAAAGGTCAGATAACTTATGGCTTGGACATGAAGAATGGTGGAGTAGCTTGCATGAGAGAACTTGGTATCGTCGAATCCCATTCAGTAAAACGTCAAATGCTTCTATCTGCTTCTGAAGCAACTGAAGTCATATTGAGAGTTGATGATATTCTCAAAGCAGCTCCTCGCAAGCGAACGGAAGATCGAGGCTACTGTTGAATTAATTTATTTTATTTTTTTTTTGTTCTATTTCTATAAACTCTCTTTAATATTGCAATTCAGTTTTTGAATTAATCAGCACTAATTAATTTTCATTTCTCCTCGTTAATAATTTCCTTTTTTTAAAACAGGCTTTAATAAATAACTTTTTTTAATATTGAGTGTTAATTTTGTTTTCCCTGTTAATTTGTTTATTAAGTTAAGACTATGTGTAAATTTGAATAAGTAAGCGTAGTATTTGATGGCTGAAGCTTTCATATACAATCTTTATTGATATTTGCTTGAATTATGTTCATTAAGCATCATGGAATTTGTAAAATAATATATGTTCTCTCAGTAATTATTTATGAGAAAGAAAGACGAAGATACTATATTAAACTTTTATATTCTATTGATATCTCTTAGTCTTTTAAGTTTTTGTGTCATGCTTTTACTTCTATTGCTGATTAATAATGGCTATACAAGGACATAATAAAAAAAATTGATATAATTGAATGAAGTTAGTCAACTGTTTTACTTATCATGGGTGATAAATATTTAGGATGCAGTCGGTTTTTAAGATTTTTACTGCTAACATTTCAACCCAAGCTCATAGGTTACCACCAGGACAGAAAGGTTTGTAACATCAGAGGTATTTTATGATACAACAGATAACAGTTAATAATGATAATTAGTGGTATATGAGTAATAATAATGTAGAAGGATGTAAATACATGATGAGATAGGCAAATGAAATTCAGAATAAGCTTTAAAAACTATATAATAATATACATTTAAATTTAAACAAATGTGATATTTAATATTACTAACCATGATTTTAAAAATTTGTTGCAAATAAAAAAACAATTTTAGAACAAAGTTCTCTATCTTAGTCCTTAATAAAAGAATTTAAACTATAATCTTCGTTTTTCTTTAAAGGTGGCTTATTTTCATCAAAAGAAATTAAACATTCCTTAAATGGAATACTATGTGCTTTATTTTCTTAATTAATTTAAGGTAGTTTATATAGTAAATAAATCACACTTATGACGTATAAGAGTATATGTTACCCACACGTAAATAGATATATAGCAAATTAGTCATATAAGGAAAAAGTAATGCCTGAATTGATTTAATAATTAATTTATTATTTAGGGATCTCCTTTCTTAAAAGCAAGTATATAAAATACAACTTTTCAGATGAGAGATAAACTGTAGTTGTGTGCATTTGTGTGGGTAGTGGCCAATGTTTATATTTCAACAGTTGCACTTTTTATTATTCCTTTAGCTTATAGACGATTCTTTGAACTTCATAAAATAAGTCCAGGACGATAAAAATGTGACAATAAAATCAAAATGAAAAATATTGGATTTGTAGAGTGTTCTATGTCGACCGGCTGTCTGTTTTTCTAGCGATCTCTAGTGGCATTCATCCTAAATCTGATCACTCCTTGCGCTGTCATTTAAATTAGACTCAGCCTCTTGTCCTACCTTTAATGCTAAAATGTGTTTCACAGCTTATAAATTAATTATTTTTTGAGCTTAAATAAGTTGGGAAACACGCCCAAAAGACTGAGTGTTCGACAGCTACCTCATTAGAGAAACTAAATGCTGTTTATATATATAGACTAATATTTAATGTGTAACTAATGATGAAAAATTTGCTATTCAACAGATAGATTATCTATGATATGTTTCCAATTCTATCAAACAGGATATAGCAAGTAATAAAGAGAAAGGATAATCAAATAAAAACAGTAAGGACAAAATAAAATAAATTATCAATTGATTAAACAATAAACCATTAATTTAACTTATAAAAGAAAACTTTTGTATTCAGTAAAGCTTTATGGTTCTATAGGATAAAATGAAACCTGCCATTTTAAACTCTAAAACCATTAAGTATTAAAAAAAAACTGCCTATTAATAAACTAAATCTGGCTATAAAACAACAAAATTGGATGTCTAAACTAAAATACCACTAAAAAGATAAGAAAATTTGTGGCTATAGAAAACTCTTGTATAAAAGGCCGAAACAATCATCAGAGAGAGATCCTTATTTATTTAATCTTAGTCATAAATTTCACAATATTATTGCATGAAACTTCATTTTTACAATATGTGGTACTAAAAAACATAATTTTAAAGTGAATAGCTCCATTATAGACTTACCTGATATAAATGTTGTAATTCATGTGAATTTTTTTTGTTTCTAAAAAGAACCTCTTATTTTTTCCATCAAAAGACTAGAAATTCATTCTTTTAATGTAATACTCACATATTGTGATTCATTGTTATATTTAACATAATATAATAACTAAATGATCACATTAACAAAGTATTTAGGCATATTTTACTTCAATGTAAATAGATATATACAAATTTCATAATATAAGGGTAAATAATGTCAAATAATAATTTACTATAAATAGAATTACTCCCTAAAAGCCTGGACAAAATATAATAGGACTGCACAAATAGTTTTATTGATTCCATGAGAGATTAAGATTTCTATTATAATTAAGAGTTCTCCTTATTTATTTTAGTAATGAATTTCATAATATTATTACATGAAACTTCATTTTTACAACATCTGGTACTAAAAAACATAATTTTAAAACAAATAGCTCCATTAAAGATTTATCTGATATAAATGTTATAATTCCATTGATTTTCCTATTGTTTCTATAAAGAATCTCTTATTTCTTCCATCAAAAGACAAGAAACTTTAACAATATTAATGCATGAAACTTCAGTTTTAACAATATCTGGTTCTAAAACAACTAATTTTAAAAAGAATAGCTCTATTACAGACTTACCTGATATGAATGTTATAGTTCCATTGACTATTTTTCTCTTTCTAAAAAGATTATCTTATTTTTTTTCATCAAAATACAAGAAAATCATTCTTTTAATGTAATACTCTCATAATTTGGTTACTTTATTTATTTAACATAATATAATAACTAAATGATCACACCAACGAAGTATTTAGGCGTATTTTACCTTGATGTAAATAGATACATACACATTTCACAATATAAGGATAAATAATGTCAAATTGATTCAAATAATGATTTATTATCAAGAGAATTACTACTCCCTAAAAGACGATCAAATATAATAGGACTGGGCAAATTTGTATTTATTTTTAATTTTAGCAATGAATTTCACAATATTATTGCATGAAACTTCATTTTTATAATATCTGGTACTAAAAAAACATAATGTTTCATTTTAGACTTATCTGATACAAAATATTATTATTCCATTGATTTTTTTTTGTTGCTAAAAATACTATCTTATTTTTTTTCAAAATACAAGAATCTCATTCCTTCAATGTAATTTTCACATATTTTGATTCTTTGTTATATTTACCGTAATATAATAACTAAATGATCACACTAACGAAGTATCTAGGCATATTTTACCTTAAAGTAAATATATAAACACAAAATTAATAATAATAGGCAGAAAATCCAAAATTTATTGAATTAACAATTTATTGTAAAGGAAATCTCGCTCCCTAATAGTCAGAGTAATATTAAATACATCTGAGGTAATAGTTTTATTAAATTCCGCAAGAGGCCAGCACTATCCAAACATTCAAATAAACTGCAGTGGTAGTAGTTCAATTTGGCGTCACCAGAGTGCAGCACCTCTCGGACCAGGCATGTCTATAGAAAACTGAGTTGAAAATTTTATATTTGTATTAGGAAAGTGGGAGGTCAAAGGAGCTCAACTGGTAGAGCTTGACCTAGGCTACAGTGGCTTAATAATACAGTGCGGTCATACGGAGGGGACGGCCATATTGGATCGGCGGGAAACTAATATTTGAATAGTCTGTCTTTGTTATTTCAATTTAAAAAGTAATTATTGCAACAAACTATTTACTAGAATGGTTTGGGAGATAGAATTGAAGTTGAACAATCTGTATGAAGCATATGAATCACTTATATCACGCGAAAATAAATAATAAAATCAAAGAACAATATTTGTTTTTTTTTCTGTTTAATTTCTTTTAAAATATATTCCAATAAACTTCGGCATATTAAGATTTCCATTGTGTTCATCTTACTCTCTCATTGACAAATTTCACAAATAAATTAATTAATTATTAAAACATTAAACAAAAACTGAGTGAAAATTAACTTTCATTGGAAAACCAGAAACTCAATTCTAAGTCAGCAATCATGAAACTATTTTTATTTTTCTTCTTAATATTCACCTTTAGAAAAAAAAAACTTTAAATAAATGTAAATTATTTAATGTAAATTTAATAAAAATAAATTATTTAATGTAAATTTAATAAATATAATTTATTTATATTGTTGCTTATAACTGAATACCACAACTAGTGTTGCCCAAATGCGAGACCATGAGGTGTCTTGGTCTTGTGCAAGTTTCGCAACAGTCTTCCAGTTACCTATCAGCTTCTTATTATAGATATATTACTGTAATTTGTCAGACATGGAAAACCTAAGCCCAAATGAAAAATTGAGAGTTAAATTCCAAAGGATATTGGTTACACCAATTCTTTACATATGGTAACTAAATTTTTCAAGTTTTACTATTACAACTATTTCAAGGTTGACTATTTTAACTTAATTTTTATTCATAAAAAGGATTTTTTTATCAATCTTGGTCTTGGTCTTACAAGTTAGGCAGGCCTTAGTCTTGATTTTGCAAAGTATATCACCAATACTGATTTTGGACAACACTAACTATTATAAATCCACTATAATTAAAATTTTAAATAGTTCAAAATTTGATCCTCGATGTATAGATTCATTTCTGATCATTGATATAAAATATTTTTTTATGAAATGGTTTGCCTCTTACCATAATGTAGATATTTTATATTGCATCTCTTATTTTATTTATTTTTCATTAGTTTTTTGGGAAATTAGAGATTGTTGGCTATAATATATTTTCAATTTTATCACACAGGATATATGAAGTAAAAATAACTAATAGTGAAACATAAAACTGTAAGGATAAAATACAATAAATTATCAATTGATTGAAGAACTATCCAATTTAACTTGAAAAAGAAAACATTTTTAATCAACAAAGGAATATATATATAAAAAAAAAAAAAGATGAAACAGAATATTTATTTAAAAAGAAATTTAAATTTATAAATGCTGCACATATACATTTACATATTTACT